ATAAGCCTCTCATGATTCCGGGCTATGGTGTGGAGCTCGCTCTTAAAAGAACTGACTATATCGTTATTGATGACCGCAAAGATGACGAGGGAACAGTGAAATCCAAGACCGAGGCCAAAGTCAAGTTTGAAGACGAGGAGGTAGCTGATCTCAAGCCCCTATCCACATCAGAACTTTCTTCACTGGGGCTCAAAGCATCTAGTTTCATTATGCAGAGTGACAAACCATTTGATTCCCTCGTTAAGCTTTCACAGGACTTTCCAAAACATTCCAGTGCTATAGCTTCCCACAACGTCTCTTCTGACTTCTTTGCGGAGCACAATTATAACCGCGGCAAATTGGTCCCCGCAGGTATCAACGTATGGTGGGTGAATGGTGTACAGATGATTGATCGTCAGATTGATGCCATAAGTATCCTCGATATCTTACGAAAGGAAAGAAGACTGATCAATGGTGTTCGTGATCTTGGGATGACAGGACCTGAAGCGGTTCAGTTGCTTTCTCATTCTAGCATTTCCGAAGCTAAGAGTGATGGAGACGTTCAAAGGTTTGATTGGAGAGATGAGATTGAGGGAGGTAATGTTATCATGTGGTTGAATGACATCGAAAAGGACAAAAGGTATCAAGAGTTTCCCGAAACTCTTGGCGCTTTACTGCAAAGAACATATCCTGGCCAGCTGCCCTCAGTCCGTAAGGAAATTTTCAACTTGGTTATACCAGTTGATTTCAGCACAATAGAAGATGTCGCGCTCGTCGCTGAAACACTTGCAAGCTTCGTCAAAAGGAAGTTAGTCCTTCATATTGGGCTTGTTCCAATCACCACTTCTCCTGCCGCTGTAGAGCAAACAAGAGTCTTGTATTATCTTTTAGATGTTTATGGACTCTCTGGAGCTATTGCTTATCTTGAGGCTTCCGTTATGAGTGGGGCAGCTAGCCCTACTGAAAAGTCTTTCCAAGCCGCTATCGAGGGTCGGGAGGCCCGAGCCGAGAAGATAGCAATTCCTCTTGTAGACTTACTGAAGTCAGATCATTACAATGATCAAATTGATGCTGCAGGCCGCTGGACCACAAGACTCTCTGCGAACGGCGACTTTCCACCAATCTTCGTAGATGGAGTCGCGCTCCCCAGAGACGAAAATTGGTTGCAAGCAATGGTTCAGCGACTCACTGCAGACTTGCAAGTTATTCAGCAGGGAGTTTTCAACGAGATATTTACCCAAGATTCTTACATCCCAGACTTCTTCCTCTCCGAAGCAACGCCACGACGAAACTCTCTTATAGTTCCGGAAAGCGACAAGAATCTGAAGATAGTTGATATTACCACTCTGTCGAAGCAACATAGCGACGTTCTTTCCAAATTGCCTAAGATTGTATCAGATTCGGCATCTCCTAAGGAAGATTGGGCTCACATGATTTTGGTAGCAGATTTATCATCTGCTTCTGGTTTGGACCTTCTTTTATCTGCGGCTACATTTCGGGAATCTTTTCCAGCTCTCGAGATTACCATTCTCCATAATTCTCCCAGTGAAATGAAAACAGCGGATTTCAGCACCTATTTGTTTTCACATATCCAGAAGAAGTCAGACAAACCACTTGTGGACGCACAAATATTGCCTAGTTTAGTGAGCCCTGAAGGACATGAATTGGATCTTACGATTCAAGATTCCGCAAGGACTTATTGGAAGGAAGCTGGTCCATTGGTCCGAGCTGCGGGCCTATCACCAGGTGAAAATGCAATCTTGCTTAATGGACGGCTTGTTGGGCCAATACCTGCTGGTTCCGAACTTAACCAAGAAGACTTTGAGCAGTTGATCTCATATGAACGTGCCAAACGTATAACTCCTGTTTATGCTGCTATGAAGAGTCTTGGATTGTCAGATAAGATTGCTGATCCTTTGGCCGGTGCCAAAATCTCCTCGATGGTTGCGTTGTCATCTGTATCAGATACACCAGATGGCATATTTGAGCAGGCACCAACTAATAGAATCAGTGTTTTCGACGTTTGGAACTCTTCTTATACATCTATCAAAACAGGGGATTCGTCAACTGCAACCATACATATGACTGTCACTATCGATCCAGCTAGTGAACAAGGACAGAAGTGGGTTCCAATTGTGAAGGCTATATCTGAACTTGAAGGAGTCTATGTTAAGATGTTCTTAAACCCCAAAGAACGTCTTCAAGAGCTTCCAGTTAAGAGGTTTTATAGATATGTTCTAGACTCAAAGCCTAATTTTGACGACGAAGGTGCATTGATTGACCCTGGTGCCTCGTTTACCGGTGTGCCACAGGAGGCATTGTTGACTGTCAAGTTGGATATACCACCAGCATGGCTAGTCGCTCCTAAAGTTTCTATCCACGATCCAGATAACATCAAACTCAGCTCTATCAAGGCTGATGTAGATGCGTTATATGAGCTTGAACATATTCTCATTGAAGGTCACTCGAGGGACATGCCATCTGGAAGTCCTCCTCGCGGAGCACAGCTCATCCTAGAAACCGAAAGAGACCCACATTTTGCCGATACCATAATAATGTCTAACCTAGGATACTTTCAATTCAAAGCTAATCCTGGATTTTACAAGATTGATCTGCAGAGTGGAAGAACCTCCGAAATATTTAAAATTGATAGCATAGGCTCAAAGGGATGGGCGCCTGTTCCTGGTGATAATACCACAGAAGTTGTTCTCATGAGCTTTCAAGGAGCCACTTTATATCCTCGCCTTTCTCGCAAGCCTGGTATGGAAGGAGAAGATGTCCTCGAAGCTAAGGTTGAATCTGCAATGGATTATGTCTCCCGAGGATTAAACTTCGCGCAAGGTATCTTAGGCAGCAAAACTAAAGCTGCAGCAGCGGTGGAAGAGCAGGCCGAGATCAACATCTTTTCTGTTGCTAGCGGTCATCTTTATGAGCGTATGCTGAATATCATGATGGTCAGTGTCATGAAGAACACGAAGCACACGGTAAAGTTCTGGTTCATTGAACAATTTTTATCCCCATCTTTCAAAGATTTCATCCCTCATCTTGCCGCGGAATATGGCTTCAAATACGAAATGGTAACGTATAAATGGCCTCATTGGCTCCGAGGACAAACTGAAAAGCAGCGTGAGATCTGGGGCTACAAAATCCTCTTCTTGGATGTTCTTTTCCCATTGTCCCTAGACAAGGTTATCTTTGTGGACGCCGATCAAATCGTTCGTACAGATATGATCGAGCTCGTAAATCATGATCTTCAAGGCGCACCATACGGCTTCACTCCTATGTGCGATAGCAGAACCGAAATGGAGGGTTTCCGTTTCTGGAAACAAGGCTACTGGGAGAAATTCCTTCGCGGCTTACCATACCATATCAGTGCACTTTACGTTGTGGATCTCCGACGATTCCGCCAGATTGCTGCAGGAGATCGTCTCCGCCAACAATATCAATCTCTCTCTGCAGACCCAAATAGTTTGTCAAATTTGGATCAGGATCTGCCAAATCATATGCAACAGGTTCTTCCTATCCATAGTTTACCACAAGAATGGCTTTGGTGTGAAACTTGGTGCAGTGACGAGAGTCTCAAAGAAGCGAGAACGATTGATCTGTGTAACAATCCGTTGACAAAGGAACCGAAGTTGGATAGAGCAAGGAGACAGGTACCGGAGTGGACATTGTATGACGATGAGATTGCCGCTGTTGATAAGAAGAGAAAGGGAATTAATGTGAATGGAAACGAGAGTGCGGAGGGTAAAAATACGAAAAGTAGAACGTTGGAGGAGATGGTGGATACAAAAACTAAGAAAGATGAGTTGTAGATGAGTGGGAATAGAAAATTGGTATTTGTATGATATGAATATTATCTTATCTGTCTTATGCCTTTGTTTGCGTGTTTGTTTGCTTCGTTCCCTTGATATTTCAAGTTTCATTATCGCTGTAGGAAGTGAGGATTGTTAGGTATTATACAAGGACCATTGACTCAGGGCTTTGTATATTACATGCTTCATTAATATATCCTTGTGTTTTCATCGCGCATTTGTCTGATTGCTGTACAAAGATGAAGTAAGAAATAAGTACGATTCGTATGAATTCTGGAGCAATAATTCATTACAGACATCTTGTTTCAAACTGGCATCCTTTGTGTCCCAATCCATAGCTAGTAAGCTAAAAAGTTGTATACTGCTTCGGCCCTATCAAGGACTCAGTGCTCTGGCTACATTGAACAAACACTATATCTCTACTTGGCCACATAGATCGGAGTGTTGGCTATAGGATCGAAGAATCAGGAGAATAACACAAGAAAGATTAGATCTGGAAAGTGTAGAGGCATCCAGTGATCTATAGATATACAGAATGAGGAGAATTCAAACTGGAATCGTGTATACTCAACAGCAATAAGTATATAACAGGTATTTATTCAGTCTGACATTGACTCGAATACTTCGTGGACTCTTCTACCTCCATTAGTATGCCTTTGAAGTTCACGTGTAATATTGAGCAGGCCAGGTTTAGCTCTCTATATTGAAAGCACTTTAGTCACTCCTTGTCATGAAGAAGTTCTCCTCCATATATTGTGCATTATGACCAACAAAAAATTACCAAAATCACATCAAACTTACATACGGCTTCTCAATACAATAGAATACAATAGATGCCAGTCATTGTTCGAATTCACCCCTGCTGTGTGTCTGAAAATTTAACAGAGGCTGGAGGTCCGAGCACATTCCTCTAGATTTTGGCTATTTTAAGAGAGCTTTATTCAACTCAAGAACCTCCCACTCCAACAGTCCATAAACCATAAATTCTACAAACCAAGGTTATGAGTAGCATCATTATTCCTTGAGATTTCATCCACAAGTTTCATCTTCCATGAACAAAAGAAGAATTTTGCTACTTAATTTCAATAAGGATACGGATTATTTTGGCTCCATCAACAGAGACCCATCACAACTCACTGTGTCCAATTCTGGGTTTCAAAAAGAGCTTACACAGAACTTTTACTGGAAGGAAAAATAGACTTCGACATGCCTTTAAAGCCATTTTTCGTGAGCAATTCTCTATTCTTCGAAACCAATTTCACTCTTGGTTATTTTTGGGTCTCTTGACTAATCTGTTGGTAGCCGTTCAATCAGGACCACCCAACCTTTCCCGCTGAATTGCGCATCTGTCAGAAAGACTTCTCGTCAAGGAACGCGGCGAAAGGAGCTACGCCCATTCTACAAGATGATCGGATGAACCACAGCTTTATCTTCGAAAAAGAATGCCGCGAAGCTTTTTCTGGATTTTTCCGTCACGGATCAAAGGACTTTTGTTTTGTCGAAAACATGAATCCTAACCTCCTCACGGAGATCTTTTTCGAGATCAAGCATAGTTCCAATCCTTCAGAATACGCAGATATCACAGCTGCAGTACGAGGCATTCGCGATTCGTCCAAGTTCTTCTTCGTCAGCTGCGGCTATCAAGATCCCGAGTATATCATTGTTCGCACATATCCCAAGTTTAGATACTTCGATTGGAACGACCAGTCGAAAATTGATAATCTCAATCTCTTTCGAATGGCAGCTATTGCGGAGGGTTGTGGCGTCGTTGCTTTTTCTGGAAGCGGTAAAATACTCCCTCCTTCTGAGATGAGATTGATGATTGAAGTAACAGCTGAAGAGCTAAGATCGAAGGAGCCAAGGGTATCTACTATCATAGAGTCTTCTATTGATGATATGCAGGATGATACCCGCGTCTCAAACAGCTCTGAGGCACAAAGTTTGCAAGCACATCCGTCGGCATCAAAGTTTCAATTTCGACCAGATGCATCTCCATTTCAACCAGCTCCGTCCATATCTCAGGTCAACGACAGGCAGTCACAGTTTTATCCCGGAACACTTGAAAGAGACCACCAGTTTCGACCAACTGCATGGTCTTTCCAACCAGCTCCGTCCATCTTTCAGGTCAATGACAGGCAGTCCCAGTCTTTTCCTGGACCACTTGAAAGAGCCAGAGCTCGCAGAGCACTGGGATTTAGGCAAGGACTGCAGAGTCTTAAAGAGCCCGAAAAACATGTGCAAAAACTACTCGTTCAATCAGAACACAGTCATGAAACATTATATCAGTATAACCGACGACATGTCGACAACCAAGGTCAAAGTCTAGGATCTGGAATGCAGCAACAACGTGAAAAATTCACGTCTCCTCACTATCCTCAGCAAAATATTGTGACCCGATTTCAAGAACAGGCATTTGGGATGAGACAATTGTCTATCCACCACGGAAGTGGTATTTTCCCTGCTCAAGAGCTCGGAACGTCACCGCAACAGACACGACAAACTTATGGACATATGCCCCGATATGCAACAACACAACACTACACTCTACCACAGAACCAAAGTTACAATTTGCAGCAGCATCATCATCATCATCATCATCATCATCATCATCAAGGCTTCAACCAGTTTCGAGCCCAAAGTGATATGATGGATAAGCGGTATGACCAGACAAGCGCATTACAATTCAAAAATCAAGTCTGCGGAATTTATCAACAATATGGTCAAGGCCAACAAACCATTGAACGGCCTCAACTTCATTGGCCTCACGCACCTCGTCAATTTGTCCAACGAGATCACAATAACTCCCAGAGTCTTGTAGCACCTCAACAAAGTGCCCAGCAGAACTCTGTCCCTCTCCAGGTCGAAAGATTCTGGGACCCCCAGCAAGCACGGCAAATTCGTTATCAATTTGAGAACCCAACCGCTGTAGACTTTCAACAGGACGAACAAGACAGTAATGATAGCCAAGTTTCCAAAGCACAGAAAGTTCAACCTGCAACTGAACAGAATGATCTAGACCCTCTTTCTGAGTCCAAGCACTGAAGGCGAGACACGGACTTCTAGGAGCAATACCAAGATTCCTGAGTCCAGATAATAGTGCAGGCGCAGAGGTGGGTCATCAAAGTGCTTTAAGTTCCATCCTTGAATGAGATCTGTCGAACGGTTTCATCGGTGCTCCTATGAGTGTCGAAGGGTATTAGAATATGTGGCTTCTATTATATAATGGCTGCTGGCGAATTATCAGTCTGTCGAAGAATATGTGTAGCGCGGGAGGAATGTGATCATACTAAGATAAGCGGATGTTAGTGATATGAGCTTCCGTGATAGCCGGAAGGGGGAGGTAAAGAAATGGAGCTGCATAGACCTGCTACTCTTGGCGCAAGAAACTCAAATTTCTTTGTTTGCTTCTACACAATTAGTGTTGCGTTTTCCCTCGATATCAGGTGCCGAGCAGACTATGGGGTAGTTGCAGCAGGATACCAGTGATGGAAAACTTCTCCACAGGGCCAGGGATGCTTAATAGATCAGAGTATACAGAGAATTACTTAGCCCAGCCGTATGACGAGGTGTTTACTTACCAAAGTGGTGGCTTTACCGTGTCGTGTTATGCAAAAGTTTCATAACCTCGAGAACTCAACGTCGCTTACATATCTCCCATGTCCACAATTGTGATGAGCTTCATGAATATTTCGGGTCTTTTAGGAACCCCAAGACAAAAGCGAGTGAATTTGTTGTCCTAACCATGTCTGAATCGAAGCGAAATCCCGTGACTTTTGGGAAAGCAGTGTAAAATTGAATTTCTCCCCTCCTCCCCTCTGCTACGGCAACCAGTATATTCATGTCGGTTTTGCAACCACAGTCCTTCAAATTGCAAAATCAAGACGACTTTCTCTTCCTTGTGAATTTCTACTGAGCGATACAATTTATAATAATCACGGTCAGCCTCGGCATTACTTGCACTTTTTTCCTTGCTGAGCACCTGGTCTCTCCCCTCTTCACCGAAAATTCCATGCAAATTTGGGAACAACAGACTTTCATAACACCAGTAGGGCTTCCTGTGATTATAATCTTCTATCTATACTCTAGTCGGTTAGATTTGCTAACAATGCCTGAAAAATAGCAGCTCATTCTGACAGGAACCGATTGTCATCAAGGCAGAGCACATCCAAATTATTCAAAACAAACTCAAGAACCGGCGCATCACGAAACCTTCAGTCACTTGGCGCGCAAATAACAAGCAGTTCAAGTTTCACAAAAGCAGCATCGTCGTTGGCCATTGATAGCGATTGGATTGCCTTTTACGTTTTAAATACTTGTCCAAACCAAGCAATTTGGATTGCACAGAACTCCACACATAACCATCACAAGCAAGTAGCCCTACTGAATTATTTATCATAAAATTCAGGAAAAAAGTAAGTCCAACAAGACATTTTACCTTTAAGCATGCTAATATGACTTTAGAACGTTTTGAAGACCTTCGCCAGAAACAAACTCAACATCCTCTTTGAAACTTTGAATTATTACAATTCATTATGTCTCCACCTCAGATATCCGTGGATTTTGCCATGACCCTAATGGTAAGTTGGCTATTATATGACATGTATCCTCGATGGAAGAATTATATACTAACTGATGTCCAGAGGAACAGCGATACTAATTTTCTCATCGGCTACAAAAATACGATTCCTGATCCAAGATACTTGACAATTGAGCAAAGAAAGGACCACACTGCTGCTGTCTTGGGAAACACCGAGCCTCATAAGTTTATTCTCCTTCATTTCAAGGCGACCAACAACTTGGTAAATTCTAAGCAAATTATTATGCATAGATATCCCCATGCCCGCCACCATGATTGGGATGATCCGGATGATATCAATAAGCTCAATATGTTTAGAATTGCTGCCCTCACATTCGCATTCACTGGTAATGATATCTCAGTTGGAGAGAGATGCTGGTCCCTTGTACCCAAATCAACCAGAAGAATATGGTTTCCAAATTTGTCGGAATTTGTTGAAGAGCGCAGAACTGAACTTGCCAGATATTTGGCTCAGGCGATTATCGATGAACAGGATGATGGAGTCGATGAAGACGATGAGGATGACGAAGGCGAGGAAGACGATGGAGACGGTGGTATTCCTACAGGATATTCCGAAGAGCTTGAGCCTGTAGCTCCCAGCACCACTCAAGCTGTAGATGATTTTGCAGAGGAACAGCGAGAATTCGCCGAAGCAGAACGCGCTACGTCTGATTCAAGCTAACGTCAAATATCCAGAATAATAGAAGCTTGCGTTGAGAATGTTGGACGTAACAGGATTTCAATAAATCTCTAGCAAAGTCCAAGAAGTATCCTGGGTCTTTGTGCGATTCAATCCTCTCAACAAAACCTACGTGTTGCTCAACTACCAAGGTCTCACCATCGGCCAGAATAATTGCACGGATCAGCCTCGAATATTCTGCGGATTCAACAGCGATATCTCTACAGTTTCACGAAACTCTCCCCTCAAAAAGCTTTCCTACAACAAGCCTCCGTTCCATAAGCCCTCATTCCTGCGACATGTTTCTGACAATATTGTTTCTAGGATAGCACCTTTTCTTGATAACAGTCCATGGCAAATTCAGAGAAAACACTAGTTTGGCATAGCGAGTTCACTACGGGTTGGCTTTTGAATGCAGTTTTCTTTTTTTTAACGATTTCTTTAGTTTCCTTGATAATAATAAAGTTGGCGGATTGCTTTGCGGGAAATCCACTGGATAAAAACATGGCTTCATTCAGACCTTCTATCAAAGGTGTTGTTACTATGTCCATCTTGCGTCCCTGTGACAACATTGGATCAGCGCCCCCAGATTGCATTCGTTTGTAATTCTTTCGGGAAGTCATCTTAGCCAGGTCGTTTATGGAATAAAAATTTTCTTGAAACAAATAAGTTTGCACGGATTCTCAGCTTACGCTGATGACACATGACATGACATTTTTGTGATTCTACTAGTACATTTAAAAGCCTTATGTCAACAGAAGGGTAATTATCTCTAAGATTGATCACCTCTAGGTAGGATCCATGAGTAACTAGCTACATTTTCTGTTCTGTGAGCTCCAGAATGGAGCACCTTAGATCGGGGCTTGTTTTTCAGCATGCAAAACCAAGATATGAGCAGTAATTCTATTTTAATATATATTTACATAACTAATTGATTATCATCATTAAACTCTGAGGTATATACCGAGCGTTGAGAACTTAGACAGCAGGTCCTCTTCCAATCCAGGTACGATAACTTCTGAAAGGGCCTCTTCGTTTATCAATATTCTTATACTGTCTACCAGGAGCGAGTCCTTGTTGATTAGTAGTAAAGTATAGCCATCCATCCAAGATAGCCATTGTATCAGCAGCCTGGACCTGACCACCACGAACGAGGGTCTTGAGGTTATAGTTCGCAGCTGCTACCATGCCTTCGCCACCGGCTGGAACCCCGTTGATCTCATCGGTGACTTCGGATTGAAGAGTGTCAGCGTAGAGAATAGCGTTTTGCTGCGGGCTGAATTAGTAATAGTACGGAATCATAGAGTGTAAGGAACTTACAGCAGAAGCACAGATATATACCCTTCCACGGTCATCAGCCGTGAATCCGGCTTGCTCAGATGGGAAGTTTCCAGGATTTTGAACTACAGCTTCGATCTCTGCGTCTGTCAAGTTAGAGATGAAAGCTTCCTGAGACGCAAAGTACCAGTGGTTAGAAGCCTTCACACCCCAATAGACATTACCCCCGGTCAACGCAATACCGTTAGTTCCAGAGTTGAGATTTGAAGATTTAGTACCGGCCCAGTTTCTGATGACTTCTCCATTATACATGGAGATGAAATTTGGGTCAGGGGTGGTGAAGGTACTGTTAAAGAGATGTCTAACGGTAGCTCCAGTATCGAGGTCTATAGTTGTGATAGAACCGTATGCCGAGTCCTCGGTCACGAATGCATATCCGGCGGTGCCAAGAGTATTGTTGACTTTGATGTCGTTCAATTGAATTTTGGCATAGTAAAGCTCAGGTGGATAGATGTAGTTACGGATTAACTCTCCGGTAGTGTAGTTGAATGCCATAATTTTCGCTCCATAGGTTGTGGGGTAGGAACTAAGTGAAGGTCAGCTGATGTTTCACACCCCCCCCCCCTCCCCCCAAAATTATTGAAGCCCCTGAATTCATAGACGAATGAACATAAACATAAACGTACGCTCCATTAGGAACTCCACTATCAATTACCCAGAAAGTTCCTTCCGCATCTAAAACCACATTCTGCACGTTGACAAAGCACTCTGAAGCATTTTGGCCCGCAGCACAATTTTGCCATTCAGCTGATGGCCAAGGAGCTTCACTATTGAAGCCTGTTGCTTTCGTGAGAGTCCAGTTTTGTGGCTCCATATTGCGTGCATAGGTAAAGAAGATGTTGCCACCAGGATCCAAACCTAGTCCCGTAGGAGCACGCACATACTCATGAACGGCTTCCAATCCTGGCCCGATGACATCCAAATCGGCGGAACATTGCCCAATGGTGGTGAGATTGGTGCGCTGTTGTGATAATGGCATTGGACAGGTGCCATTGAAGGTTTGAGCGGCTGCTGTCGCTGCGAAAGCAGCTAGAAGAATTAACATCCTTACAATTCTAAAATGCTCGCGTATTGACGAAAAAAGCGAAGGACAAGGAAACTCGAGAAAACACACGGTCAAAAATCCAAATTTAACATGATTAGACGGGAGGCATGTATTTATTTGAATATTTGGATCTGACTGCGCCTACAGTCATGGCAATACCGCGGCACTGAAAAACTTCGGCATTCCGATTTAAGGTTGGTGGTGATGATATTCGGAACTTGGCACTTGCTTGGCATATTCCACAATTTATTTAGAGGCGCCGGCGAACCCTCCACGGCCACTTAGCGCATGACATTGTGGAATACGCTCAAATTAATGAGGTGGGCGAAGCTGCTTGGTCGGAGTGGATCTCCAAACACCTTGATAGATACGTTGGAGGGTAAATTATTTGTTTCAAGGAATTGGCAAACTTTCTGCGATATTGATATATAAAGTGAACCCGCGTATTTTGAGAAAGAACTGTCATATGTTTCGGAGGTGATATTCTGAGTTAGATAAGGTTTGCTTACTTAAAATCTCTACAAAGCTCATAGAGGGCAAATACTGCGCCAAGTGGATGCTGTAGACTAACAAAGCTAATTATTAACTGCGACCCCTTTTTTTTTTACGACACCCAAAATCTGCTCCTTTCTCAGCAATTTATGTCAATTATATCCTTATTTCGTGCAAGATAAAATTACAAACTGTGCTGAGGGGATATCATGACGACTAATATGATTACACTCAAATATTGGGAATCACTCCCGGGAGCAGAAAAATATTTTCGCAGTTTTGGTTCACCTAAGCTTCAACATCTTGCTTTCTCATATAATGGGGCACCTGAATCAAGCTTCTAATTACTGGCCCGAAATTGCCTGAGCAATCCCCTTGATGGTGATCCCCCAATCCCCTGATTACTTAAAGACCCAAAGATCGGAACTCTCGGGTATTGCCCACAAAAAGGAATCGATGAAGGGCCATTCGATCAGATGTACCTGGATCTCAGGATCGAGAATAATGGCACTGCTGTTCGGCACTGGTTGCCGAACACGTGAGGGCCATGAATTAAATTCGATGGGCACTGAGTTGGGACATCCGCTGTTCAGAGCAGAAAATGCTGAGAATGTATAGAATTTGGGAAGTTAGACGAAGCAGTCTTTAGCACCCTGATTCTCAACAAGATAAATAAGAAGTCTTTGATTGTGAAGAATGTAGCAGCTCATTGTATCTTGTGTCAATATCTCGGGTTTTCCAGAGCTAAGAGGAAGTATTTGGAAGATAGCGCCGTTCAACAAAAATCTTTCTGGAGAAGATCATGAATGAATCTAAATGATGATTGCTTAGGTATTCTTATAGAGATATTTCTGGTATTCACTCGGAGTGCTGCCTGTGGAGGGCACCCAGCTTTATTCAACTATTGGAAAAATCAATTTCATCTGATGTCATCTCAATCAATCACAACGACCTCCTCCTATGTTTAATACGTAATAATGTTAGAAACCACAATCACCACAAATAACTCTATCTAATTCCTTTCCTGGCTCATTTCAAGAAGAAAATGTTTGTATTTGATAACATTCAGTTCGAGTTAGATTCCTACAGCAGCTGTGAATAATGATCCCTGAGCATACTGTCGTCGACCTGCCGACCAGCTGTATGTTGTTTCAGAACAAAATGGCCGTACCTTTATTTATCTATATAAACAAAAGATCTTACAACCTGAGAACTTCTTTATCTTGTCAGAGAACTCTCACATCAAGTACAGGAGAAATATTACTTTCAAAAAGACTTCTAAGGACAAAATCTGTCCCCCAAAGAACCACGTTCATACACCCTTTCAATATTTTGATACTCTTGACACACTGTCTCTCGATATATTCAGTAGAAAGAACAGTTATCTTAATCCAGGACATCAGCTTGTAAGCATATTCTACTACCAAAGACTTGAGGATCTACCCAGAGCTCGGTATTGAGGCACTCCAGCTGCTCTCAACTGCTTCATGGTATCTACCTGAAGACTAGCCAGTAGTTCCACTCATCCATAATCTTCATTTTCAACAGCAAACATCCATTTATATTCACTAACGGCAATAAATAGTTATCTAGATCAACATGTCTCAGAAAAAGAATGAAGAGCTTCCACCCACCAAGGCACCCCTCCCTCCATTCGGAGAGCCAGGGCACCAAGGAAAATCCGCTCTCCTCCGCGAAAACTTTCTCTGCAACCTCGCAGATGCGATCGTTCCTGCTGGTCTTTTCGGTGATCACAAGAGACACCGCCGAGACAGCGCCTATAGGGCGGGAGATTTCAAGAAAGCCGATGTGGAGGCCCAAGATGAGGAGGATGACTGGGTCAATTTGGTAGATAAGACTGTCAAATCTGGTCCTCTTCAAATCACACCTCGTGATGCAAAATCTGAAGAGCGTCGTCGCAGTTCTAGCATGAGTAAATCTCCACCGATGAGTCCGGGTTTTAGCCAGGCTAAGCTCAGTGCGAGATCGATCCAGGACGCGTTTGTTGCTTGGGCTATTACAGGTGATACCGATCTGACACCTGCCGTGCTTGGTCATCCCGACAACTCCAAGTTCGTCCTTCGTCGGTACGATATTCGGAACCCAACCAAGATCGAGAAGAAGCGCATCGATTTGCACATTGACGAATTTGACTGGAATAACAAGGAGCATGTTGACAGGCTGAACAAGGCTCGCCGTCATTGGGAGATTAATACCCTAGAGTCCAACCCACAGACCAGTGGAAAGTCTCGGTAAGCTTTGCATGACCTGAGGATTAAGGGATTTCAAATTACTAACGATGACCACCTGCAGTGTCACAATTGATGGAAGACGCTCACCAGTTGACACCTCCGTGGGAAGTTGGTCGCCTGGTGATGAGAAGGATGGTGAAGACTTGATCGATCTTTACAACACTTAGATAATTTGCGAGTTATGTTTGTCAGTCATTAACTGACGAAAGAACGCGTTGAATCAAGATGATATGTCATGGACGAGACAGTTTTTTGAGATGGTGTAACCTTTGGGTCATGGAACGGCAGGATTTATTTGACTATTTTGATACCACAGAATTCCACGGCGTTTGGCCTGTTTACAAATCTTGGTTTATATAGATAGGAATCAAGCTTCTTTGCATGTCAGTTATGTTTCTTACTGTTTGTGACTTATATAATGCTATGGATCCTAGCTTTGAGAACCCTGTACGATAACACACATGTCTTCAATATATAGAGCTCAAAATGATGAAAGAGAGCTCGATGATCCGATGACGGCCTGTCAGATTTAGAAAAGGTACTCGTACCAAGAAGAAAGTTTGCTCTTTTCCATCCCTATATTGATTCTAGGAACGAGGATGTCCTCTCGCTAGGTGTTGGAGATTTCTACTGAGTCTGAATTCTACAAAAATGCATTTGTTATCCATAAAAATGGGCGGGACATGTTGTAGGTGTGTAGAAAGGGAACGCTATAAGAGAAGATTTTTGATGAAAGACTATGGAGGACTGCACGAAGATGGATGGCGAATATGTGCACAGAAAGCGAATCAAAGGAAGGATGAAGAGGTGCATTTATAGATGACAGAGGTCGGTACTACTGGATACTAAATTTTAGAATAAGACAATTGCAATAGATACTCCGCGAGAACTTGAGCCAAATCTCCGTAATTCTTCTCCTTCTAACATGCTTTTAGATAACTAAGCCCTCTTTAACAATGAATCTGATTTGTAGGGTCTTTTCGCTTGAAAGCTTGACGGAATAATTGCTTCTCCTCCTATACTTTCTTTTGTTTCTACGACCCAATGGTAAGAACATTCCAGCATGCGTAAACAAAAATGATGCAAGGATAGAATCAAGCAAGCTGACGGGTATTGATACTGGGTCTGACTTATGGTTCCATCCCTTCCCATTGCCTCCATGCATAGAATATGAGTAGATATTAGCCTCTACTTGAAACGCATCTTGAACTTTGGAATAGTGATGTAGCCTGTTCTATCGCTGTGAGTGAGGATTTAGGATATGCCAAAATCTGTAATACATTCTGTTTGAAATACTTCAACCTCCAACAGATGATACATTGCACTGATTAGTCAGGGCTTTGACAAGAGACAAGGAGAGGCTCACATGAATCATTTCGTTGATGTCAACGTCTTAAAGAAACTGAAGATCCAACATTATTATCTATACACATCCTATGTAAACTTGAGAATGGTGAAGGTAAAAGATAAATCTGAATTCATCCTCATACAGACAATATCCATACATGAAGGTAGAGAAAGGGTAGAGAAATCACATGATGGAACCAATTATCTTTAGTGAAATATGTACAGTTCTGTGGGATCAACAAATACATATTAAATACTTCTTTCAAATTCACTAGAAACACAAACAATTGTACCATCCCAACCATCCCAACCATCCCAACCATCTACAACATTCATTCCTCAATTTCCCCAGGAATACAATTGTTTCTATATGTAATATTCACATAGCAACCGCCGTACCAATGGCGGGGTAGAAGGTGATGCTTGATTCTACCGAACTTCAATACAAAAGGATTCGAAATATTCATCCTTTTCGAATTATTTATTTCTCACAACATCTTCTTCCACCTTCACAGAACATCAAAATTTTGACCTCATACAACCCTTTTCATCTTAACAACAACGATTCGCCAATATTCTCTGAGGATTGGATTTTCACCTCTTCTTCATCGACAACCTCTTTGATACAATTTCTTAATCTCTCCTGAGAACACCCTCGAAGTTTCCAAACTACACTCAACCTTAAGTAAGTGTATCGATTCCTTTCCAGCTCTTTATATGTTATCTCTTTCCTGACTCCTTTGCCTATCCTTATTCTTCACTCTTGCGAATTGAAGCACTTCTCATAAAAGCAATCCTTTTCCTGCAGAATACACTTCCTCCACTCTCTATCCTCATAATTTCGCAGATAGATCACTCTTCGCTTTTGCATGTAGAGCCTCGTCTCGTCGTTCAGTGTACTCTTCCTGGATCATATTCTTCCCAATGATTCTGGCATATCATCATTTCTTCTTGCGCTTGTGCGTTGAATCTCCAATACTGTTCATTGTATGTATTCAATCAGCTCTGCTGCCCCCCTTGGATAACAAAGTCGCACAAATACTTTCACCCTTCGTCCTTCACTCAAGTTTGTACAAGTGCACTTGACTTTTTCTTGTCAGTAACATCACTCTTCACATTCTCCCAACTGAAGATTATTTGATTTACATCAGTGAATAGTCTCCAGAGGTCTCATTTATTCTCTTCATGATTTCCAAGAACTAGGCATTCACCTGAATTATCTGATTGAGGATCTGAAGTATACTGATTCATATGAACACTTAGCGAAAATCGAAAATCGAACACAGACGAGTGCACATAATGCAGAGTATACGAGAGATGGAACAGAACGGAGGAGAAAGCATGTATAATCGTCCGAAGTCACCCCTTCACAGAGGCTTGGATGTTCTCAGTGCCGCTGCTGCTTCTCATGAAGAAGATCGAGCTTCTGTAATTCAAAGCACAAAAGTCGGAGACCAACATCAAAGATCTGCGACTCCTTCCGAACGCCCAGAGCATAGTTCGGGCCATTTTGCTGAGAGGGCTAGTGGTAGTAAGTCCAAGAATACCGCCACAGCCGGTAAGACGAATGCCCACCAGACCCCACGATCGAGCGAGCATAGAGACGGATCAGAACTGCCACTTGAAACAACGCTCAGTACCTTCCATTCTCCACATGCGCCACAGACTACCAATCAGCAGCTCGGCCAGTTGTGTCCTTTCTATTACAATCACTCCATCGGTAAATTTTGTTTTAACTGTCGATGCATGGAAATGCCATGGAGAGACATACATCCAGTGGCTCTTGACACAAACGGCAACAAAATACAAGTTCCTCCGCAAGGTACATTGCTAGAAGGTGTAAGAAACTTGAATGAACCCTACGAAATTGCCCAGCTTGCTTTGCTTGTCGAGTTTCGCATCATAGAACAGGATATTGCCACCATTCCTGGTCTTGTTGCAACTTTCAAATACTTCCCACATTTGCATGATGTTGCTCATCGAATTGCAGATATGGTCAAAGAGCTTCGAACCTTAGCTAATGAAGGTGAGAGTGAACGAGTACCAAAATGGTTTGATACACTCCATGAGTTATTGAAAAATCCAAATTTAACCCACGACCAATACTTCGCACAGATAACTGGAGACTGGAACTTTCAAGCAAAGAATGCGACGCCACCCATCCAAGAAACTCGAATCTCAACACGAGTATTCACCGGTATTCCAGTAATGCTCACCGTGGAAGATGCAATCAACTATGAAAACAATCGCGACGAGCGTAACGAAGCTGATGCTCGCCAACTTATGGAACATCTGCATAGGAACGAGAGCAGAGGTCCAGGATATGTTCAGTTCACGTTCGACTTCGTAAGTTGGTTAAGGGAAGGAGCGCATAGCACTGGCAAAGGTGCGCCACAATGGAGTCCTCGCTATGCTCAAGAATACTACAAGTATGCGTATCCCGCGTCTGCATTGGCACCCGGAACCAACAACAATGGTACACGATCGCGTGGTCGTTTGAATTTCTCAAATCGTCGTAACTCGACACCCACAACACCACGTTGTAGCGAAGAAGCCTCTGACGTTGAGCTCTACGATAGCAATGATGACGAAGAAGAGCTTGAAGGAGCTTACTTTCGTAAGCTGCCAGAAGTCAAGAAGAACACGCCAGGTCGTGCCAATGTTACATGGCGATTTGTCGAAGGAACAGATATCACAAATGCACAACTAGGTAACCCTGATCCTAGCAAATTCTACCTGACCCGCCAAAATGTCGATGATCCCGAAGAGGTCGATCTCCGCCAATACGCACAAATTGCCGGATTTGACTGGAATGATCCTGCTGATATTAAGAAGCTCAACAAGGCTAGAGCTCAAAACCGTAAGCGTACCTATGGTAATGTTGCCGAAACAAGAATCCCATGGACACAGTTGGAGAAGGATAAACTCATGGAGGAGGTAAAAGATGCGATTAGGGTTGGTGAAACCAGACATACGATTGACTGGGATGAGATTGCAGATCGTCTTAGACAGAGATTCGATGGATTTGTGCAGAAGAAGGGATCTAAGCTGGCACCAGGGGTCGAGAGAGAACCAAAGAATGGCAAGAAAGATAGAAGTAAGTCGAATTTTCTTTGATGCTGTTGTATGACTGAAGACTTCAAAGCGCGGAAGTTCCGGGCAACCATTATGAATTCACTTTATTCTTGAGAGACGATAGCTAATTAGTCATTTAACAGCTCTCAAGACTAGTCGCAGTGATCGCGTGGGTTATAGTCGCACAGGATCTGCAACCGAAACACAAGCCTTGAAATACCCCGATATCCTCAAGTTAGTCAATGACGCCACTGGAATTGGCGGAAAAGGAGGACGAGGCGTGCTTAGAGGTCCTCGTCGACTCTCGCAGGCTGCTGGTGATGAGAAGGAATCAAACAGTCGATCCACAAAGGAAGCCACGCACAGCCCCCACCGCAGCTTTTCACAGGCTATCGATGACGAACAAGATAAGGATGTCGATTCACCAACCAAGAAACGCAAGAGTGTTAGGGGTTCTGGAACGATGTACAGTGCGCAGACCAAAGAACTTAGTCCAGTGGCAAAGCGAGCTTTTGAACTTCCCAGCTACAACTTTGTGCACATGTTTAATGATGTATATGATGATGGAAATGATCGTCCATCGAAGAAGCCAAAGGTTATCCACCGTCGCTATTCGAGCGACGCGGCACCGCATATGCTGAAGAAGCAATACAATGATGAAGAGGATAACGGAACACCACCTTCGCCATCCCGACCATCTGCATTGAACGCTGCGTTTGGGTTGAGGCTTCCCAAGAGTAGTGCAAAGCAGTTTGACACCACTTCAAGCAGGAGATAGTCTGTTTCCAAATTTATACCGGTGGGACTTCTACTATGTCTTGGTGTTAGACATGCTTCCTCTCGCTACTTCTCACGCATAGGTTTCAGCTCAGACTAGGGCTTCAAAGAATGTTCTCGATGTTTTGTCTTGGGCATCAATAAATTTCATTCTCCAGGTAAGATATTGAGAAAAACAAGACTTCCAACGCAAATTTTCAATTTGTACGACTACTGTTTCTCGATAATACGAATTCATCACAACTTACGCACGGATTGCACTCACAAAAAGTACACGCAAAAACTTCACCAGCTACTTTCGTCCAACAGGGAACATTTCTCATGAAAAATGATGACACCAAACCCACACTCGGCACTCGGCAGCTCTATACAGCACAAAATTTTCTTTCATTTTAGGTTTAGATGTGGCAATGCGGTACGATGCATAGTAATATGGAAATAGCTGAGATTACATTAAAAAAAGAACTTCAACGGCATACATACAGCTCTTACGATTTCTTTTGATGCAATAGAGTTGGGATATGTATGATACTGAGAGGTTATGAAGCACTTCTACAACTGCGGTCGTGATGTATTCTCTTTTGTTTATTTGGGTTTAGGTTAGGTTTGTGCTTTCTATTTTGATAGTGTAGGATAATTGAATCGATGAATAAAATATTTTGATCAAATTTTTGATGTGCGTGATGCGAGATACGTTGTACTTTTATGTTTAACGTGTTAGAGAAGCGATAATGTACGTGTGTATGTATAAACACCAACTCCCTCTTGTCCGCTCATACATGCCGTTTCTGTGTAGATTCAAGTATTCAGTCCTTCCTTCCGCATTGCTAAAATCTTTTCCACGCAGCTACTTGTCACTTATATCTTTCAAAATGAGAGATGTACGTTTCTATAAGCTTGGAAAGTCTTATAGACCAGGCCTCTCGTATTTCTACAACGACGGAACCTTAACAATTGAGACCTGCAATAAAGAGTAGAGTGGTAAAGATGTGGATTTGCGTTTCGGTGTGTAGGTTGAGAACCGCATAGTAGATTCAGCAGCATGGACTGTTATGTAGATAATACATTACTTGAGATTATGGGACATTGCCACGTGGAGCTTGCGTGAGTAGCAGCGGAAAATGAAGAATCACAAATTGGGAAAATGGTGTGTCTGAACTTGTTGGGTATTAATTAGTAAGAGGGGGGATCGTGGATGGGGATTGAAAGGCGGGGTCCAAGTCATGGAAGCTATGCTCAATTATACATTCTTTTGGTATTGAGAAGTGTTAAGCGGGTAATAAAGGGTACGGAATTTACAGTATTTAGTCCCTAAAAACGTTGCTGCACACATCAACGTCATCTGACCGACTACTCGCTTTGGTCAGATGAGTCCACAGAGTATCGATATGTTATTCTGTCTTCTCAAGAGTGCACTCCAGGACACTTAACAGCACATTCAGACGCCTGATTTCAACAGGATGTTTTGCAATAACAAAATAATATCACAATGTCTGTGGTTTCAATCAACGGGGCTCCGAATGATCAAAGTCCTGGGAGCAGTACCGAGGCAAATCTGGATATTCAGTACGTCATAGGTATGACGAATGGTGTTCATGTCAACGAGTTCATCACGTCCGGATTTGCGTAAGTAATTATCACAAACTCTTCCCTCTTAATATTTGAGACGTGCTTAGCAAGTCATAGAACCCTCGTTCCAGAGTACGACCACCCAAGTCTACACGGTAGTAACGAGTCATGTCTAGATCCCTTGAGATACCTGCTAAGATTGACAAATGAAGAGCTCCATTCGATGATCTCAGTATCATATGGAGAAGACGAACAGACAGTGCCGAAATCGTACGCCCGACAGACATGCTTCATGATAGCCCAGCTTGGTGCTAGTGGTACCTCAGTCATCGTCGCATCAGCGGACAAAGGCGTAGGAACAGCGTGTATGAAAAACGACGATTCTAACATCACGCATTTCCCACCGCAATTCCCAGTTGCTTGCCCATGGGTTGCGTCAGTTGGTGGAGTGCGTTACATCGACCCTGAACAAGCAGTATATTTTTCCTCTGGCTGTTTTTTCGATCTTTGGCCTAGGCCGTCGTATCAACAGGAGGCAGTAGAAGATTTTCTCCAGACGCAACTCGGCGACCGACAAAAGGGACTTTTTGACCCTCATGGGCGTGCATCTCCAGATATGTCCGCCCAATCAGTCAGATATATCATCGGTGATGCCGGCCACATAATTTGGGAAGATGGCACTAGCTGTGCGGCCCCAACCTTTGCTGGAATCATCGGTCTTTTGAATGCCGCTCGCACTTCCTCGAAATTTCCACCTTTTGAGGTTTTGAACCCTTGGCTTTATAGTGTTGGAAAGAAAGGCTTGAGAGACATTGTACATGGAGGAAGTACAAGGTGCAATGGTCATTTTCGCTTCGAGGGGAGTTTAAATGGTAGTCCAATCGTACCGTATGCCTCTTGGAATGCTACACCCGCTTGGTACCAATAACAGGTTTAGGTACTTCGGATTTCAGAAAGCTATTGATATTGTCTACTCCTTGGATTTAGAATCCGGGAGGAAGTGTTTGATGATGATCTCGAACGCGTTTATTACGAAATGTATATGGTTAGTCGATTTGTCGGTTGGGTGGAGAGCTGCATTAGCTCAATGTAGCTTAGCGTTCTTTATTCAGACCCCGTTTTTTTGTGGTGACTGACCTGTATAAGCCAGCCCACTTTCCACTCTAGAGAAGCCTTTAGAGTAGAGTTGAATCGACCACACTTCCCAGAACTGATACAATTCCAAATGACCGCAAGATTGCTTAAATCACAGATTTGTCAGCCATATTGCGACATGCAGTTTACATGCATAATTAGTGTATAGCCCCTCATTTGACTCAGCAGTATATGTAAAGGTAAGCTACTTAAAGCCTGGGTTCCCCAATCGATTTCCATTTCAACTTCGTGATCGAGAAATCGACAAACAAGATGGAGTTCTATACTGATAGTACTCCAGAAGCAGTAAAAAATGCAACAGCAAGTTAATATTCGAAAATATACTCATACATGTCTGACACCATAACAGGGCCTTCATCTAATCACCGAAGCTACACCAAACGGTAAAAAAGTGCAAATAATGCTTGAAGGACTGAAAGATGTTTATGGCCTTGAATGGACGACTAGCTTAATTGATCTCGAAACAGATAAACAATAGGAAGATTGGTTTCTGCGTTTGAATCCTAAGGGCATGACTAACTCCAGCTTTGAAGCCTACGACCGTTGAATTTGACTAATCGCTTAAAGGACGGATTCCACTGCTGTTAGATAATACGCTGACGCAGCCCTTTCCGGTCATGGAATCATCTGCAGAGCTTTCATATCTCTCTGATAACTTCAATAAGGATAATTTTTTTGGATTTGACAATAAACATGAAGTTCGTAATGGATTTCATATTCACACCCTTTCGGCTTTCGCTGTTCCTCAAGCATGTGTTTTTGACCCGGTTTATCAAATCTGACTGGATAATCTTCGTATACCCTATTCCTGATGAGTCTTCACCGATCTTCTGACCTGAATACAGCATAGCGAAGCGGTGCAATGGCTCTTTTTCTGGCAAGCATCAGGCCAACCAAATCAAGGACAGAATAATCATTTCAGTAAATCCGCACCTGAAAAGATCCCCTGTGCGTATTTTCCCTAGACAGACACTCCCTCACTCTCACATACTCCCCGGAACTAAAAAAACGAAAAGGCGCCATTTCACGTTTCAAAACGGAGACACTCCGCATTTACAACGTACTCGAGCTTCGTCTCTCAGGACATTACACAGCCATTCCACGTCAATACCTCGCGGGAGCAGGAAAAGGCAGATACAGCATTGCTGATATTGGAACGTGGCCGTGGGTCCGATCATGGAAGTATGCAGGGTTCACCGATGAGGAGATGGCGGATTTCCCACATTTGCTACAGTGGGTTGCTCGTATTCCTGATAGACCGGCGGTTCAGAGAGGGATCTCGGAATTCTATGATAGTGGGGAGAATTCGGCTTTGCGGGTATCGACGAGAGGGTAGAAACTTAGGTTATATGAAGAATGAATATGGGGTTAAGGTCAGAAAATGGTTTCGAGAGTTTCGGATATCATTCGATTCGCCCTAATTCGAAGTGTACATCTTAGGTCATTATATACTCACCAAGCTCTTGAAGTGGGAGTTATGATCGATCAAAGATAGGTTTCGTGGTGTTACACTGTGACGATTCGGTCCTCTTTCGGGTTTCCTTTCTCGTCACCTGCTCTAGGCACTAGTCCTAGTACATGATCCTCTTGATATATATTCTAGAGGTCTCTTTCTCTCTTCTTCTTCTCTTCTTCTCTCCTTAGCTTTAGATTCTAAGTCAAGAATTGAATCCTTCCACGACAGTCCTTCAAATCATCCAAAGCTCATTACTACCAGCCCCCGCCGGTGAAGGCATTTAATTAACATCTCATTTACATTTACAGCTCAAGCAACGTCATTGCGCTGTCAAGAAGAACCTATAACAAATGAGCCGCTGCACACCTTTGAAGGATGGCCAATAGACAAATTCTCCCTAACCTTTTCCCAAAATCTTCGAGGAAATCCAGAATAATTGGAAGAGAGTACGCTCAGTCTTCCCCACCTGCTGAAGACTCTGGAACAATTACAGTGTCCTAGGCAAAAAGATTGCCACGTACTCCACCGCAAATCCAAGCTAGCTCTCCCCTTTCTTCTGTGAATTCGAACCAGTTTGCCTCTCTTAACGACGGAGCCGACCAATCCTCTGATTTCCCTACTTTATAGCCAGCAATGTCATTCAAAGGCAAAGCACCCGCTGAGGAAACGACCTCTGTATGGGTGCTGTCTCTTTTCTCGCTCATTGCCCAACAAAGAGAAGCCATTGCCTACCTGACTACATGACTTAATGAGATTCGGTCTGGAAACAAATCTAGGACTAGTTCTCGTAATTGCTCTCTAGCTCCTCGCAATGTTAAGCGTTCATCAATCCTTGATTCGACCGAAACAGTAGAACCCCCGCGACTTTCAGATCAACCCCACCTGATCGACCGTGTAATTCTCCCTTTTACAGATTAGAGAAATACCCAACCTACCGGAAAAGCTCTCGAATGGGATGGAATCAGCCCCAAAGCTGTAGAAGCATCTCATGGGAAGCAACCTTGAGGAGAACAATCACGCATTTGTCAACGAATGGCACCGACGCAAATGCATTATTGCCAACACTGAAGGCATAGCACGCACGCATATCCAGCCCCTGCTATCAAATCCTTCTGTAGAATATACCGCTCAAGGCCTGATTGATGTAGCCGCACTAATTACTACGAACCTGGCGCAGCAGCAGATTGCTACTGACCAATACGAAGCCCTCATGCAGAAACCAAATCAGCATTTCGGGAGCTCTGCCAGACTTTCCGCCAATTGGCTAATACAATCGAAATCACTAAAGATCGGACACTTCGATTTGCTTTGCATCAGAAAATCCATCTTCGATTGTATTTATCAGTATATTCAAACAAGCATTTGAAAGGTTACATAGTAAATATAAAATTCAGCAATAATTTTGAGTTGAAAAATTTATATGAAGTGCTATAGCTACTACAAAAGGACATGATGGTGAGATTGATAATCTATAGTTTGTTCACAGCGGGTCATAATAATGAGGGTTGAAAATTTATATTATATACAAGAACGTAATGATTATATTCGGCATGAGCTCTGCACAGTGAACTCTATTCCTATTCTTCTTTCTCTTTCTCTTTCTCTTTCTCTTTCCCTTTCACTTTCTTTTCCTTGAGTTTATGTAAATTTATACATCTATATCTTCCTTCACATGCACATACACACTCGCATCCCAACATACAAAATCCATCGTAATCAAATCACCTAATAATCATCCACTTCCTCACCTTCCTCATCGTCATAATAACAGACATCATCATCATCATCGTCGTCGTCGTTATCGTCATCGCCAGCAGTACTGGTAGATGCGGCTGCGGCGGAACTAGTGGTTGTAGAGATGGAGATGGGGATGGAGGAGTTGGTGAATATCAAGGTCGGGATTGCTGAGGAGAGGGTTTGGGAGGTGGTTATGGAGATAAAGATAGAGGTGGAGGAATTGGTGTATGCTAAGGTTGGAGCTGCTGAGGGGGTTTGAGAAGTAATGATGGTTGCGTTGGGAGGAGAGAGGGTAGGGATTAGAGTTGTGGATGCTGCGGAGGGGGTTTCGGAAGTACTGGTGGTTGTATCGGTCGAGGAAATGACAATGACGGAGGTACTGGCAGCGGCCGAAGAAATCTCAGATGTACTCGTGGTTCCGGCTGCAGATGGAGTTTCAGAAGTACTGATGGTTGCCGAGACTGAAGGAACTTCTGAAGTACTAGTACTGGTGGTTGTAGTAGCCGAAGGAATGATGACGACTGAGGTGCTGACAGTCGAAGTATAGACGACTTCAATCGTAGACGTAACTGTCTCGTAAGAAATGTCCGTTTGTAACGCAGTGCTCGTGACAACACAAGGATTGGTTGTATATTGTACAATGTTGAAAACATTTGAAGGAGCTGGTGCTTGAGTGACTGGTCCATTTTGCAAGAAGCACTCGTAAAGAGCACCAACGGTGGTAAACGCAATTCCGTTACATGAACTGGCAGCTGTTTTCAGATTGTTGAGAGCGTTGCAGAAGGATACACAGATAGAAGTGGCAGCAGCTCCGATAGGTTCGACATAGGCACGAATAACGGTTCCACCGATGAGCGATGCACCACATTGCTGAGAATAGTAATTGCCTCCGGGCAGGGACCAAACCGCGCCGGCTGAGTAAGTGGGGCCTTTTGGGACTATACTATCGACACTACAGGTCGTCGCTGTAGTGATAATCGGATAGGCAGTGGTAATGGTGTTTGTGACTATACTGAGGCTGGTCGATGTGACAGCAACTTCTGAAGGACTGACAGCTTGTCGTGGGGCGACGACAATGGCCTGACACAAGCCGGCTAAGGCAGAAAAAACGATCAAAACTCTCATTTTGAATGACTAGAAACAGCTTAAAGGAAGGACAGATACAAAAAAATAATAAATGAGTGGTTGAAGTTAAAGAGAGGAATGGATATGAGATACCTGAAGAGAGATGATCTACATCTTTGTATAAAATGATTGTGGGGAACCAAGCTCAGCTCTATAGTCCCAGGGAAAGTAATAACATCCGCGCTAAGTATAGATAGTGCGATACTACTAGTATGCGAGCACGTTCTGGTCCCTTGGAGAGCAGGGTTAGATTGTTTGCGGGGCGAGCCGTGTTTTCTTGCCACGAGGTAAGCATAGCATTTGTATATTTAAGCATATCAGATAAAGTCTCCTGCGGTATCGTGAGTTATTTGTTGTTCTGGCCAGGATGATATTCGAGAGGATACCTCAACCAGAAGCCAATTCGTTATGTTTTCGATTCTTTCACTGCCCCCTCGAAGATACTAGAGCATGTAGGGAGCCCATGGCGGACCCAACAGACAACGCGACCCCTAACTAGCTACCTGTATCCCGCTTTGAAACCCTTCACACTTCTCTTAGCCTCAAAATAACGGATGAACAGTCCTATTTGGAGCGCCGACATAGTCGCTTACAATGTCAAAACCTTCATTATTTCCCAATCCGTCTCTAGCTTCTTTCTATCTTCAATGATCCGAAGGAAGAATACCATATGAGAAGTGGGCTAATTCGTGAATGTTCACCAGAATGGGATATCTGTGGATCTGGGGCTGATTGTGGCTTGCTCATTCATTGCTCTTTAGTCTGTTTTGGTAGGAGAATGAGAAATTTTAAAATTGCGATACCTTCCAAGGTTTGTCCCGCGTCTATATTTTTCGTTTGTTTTCCCCTGAATCTCCTCTCCGCGATTCGTTGGGTGATCAAAGCGCTGGGATCGCCGTGATTCGTCGATCTTCGTGTTTTGAGGCTTTGATTGGCTGGTTATGAGAGGAGATACTCCATTTTATGATCATGTGATTACTTTACTTTGATGTAAATGTAAGCTTAATGAAGGGAGAAACTACGGATGGAAATAAAGATAATTGAGTAAAGACGCCCGTTTGTCAAGGAAAGAGCTTCAGGCAGAAGAATCTGAACATGTCACGTTTCGGCTGATATCCGGAATGAGGTGCATGGGCATTCATTCTAGCTCACTTGAATTCGAACGTCGAATGAACTTTGTCTTTTGATTTTGAAACCAACTAGACTACGTTTTGTTTTTCAAATGAAAACTACAATATCCATCCTTCGCAAAGAATACTAGTAATGCAGCTGTTCAAATGCTGCGCCATAAATGTACAAGTTCTAACTAGAAAATCAACCGCATACCAATGAAGACCCCGATCACGCTCAACTACCATTAAAGCCATGTTTGTACATATCTACACCCTCTTATCGTTAGACCGATCTCGCCATACTGAATCAAGTCTTTCAAAGTGGCAAACCTTCATAAACCCGGAGAATTAAGCCTTCAATGGTCGCGACGGAAGCTCTTGTGTTACATTTGCTCAAGATCCGTAGCGTGGCAGTCCCCATCACTGTAGACAACCAGGAGTAATCCAACGAGAGAAATGGAAGTGAGAGTTTCAAAATGAACTTACATGACCATCGAATGAGAAGCTGACATGTATCGTACTGATTTGAAATACTCATTGACTCTTCTCCAAGTTTCTACGTGTCCTAGGATGGACGTTACCCAAGGGTTTCTTGCTGTCAGCTTGGTCTGATTTACTACGTTTCATGAGAGGCTCATTATCTGAAGACTCATCAGAACCATCCATCTGCATCTTATCGATTCGTGTGGAAGAAGATTCAACACCTGAATGCTCTTCCTTATCCACCATTTGCATTTCAACATCAGGCGCGATGCAAGCAGTCGTGCCGGCCCTGATACTTGAAGGGGGATCTTGATGGGCACCATGAATTATCTCAAGCATCTCGTCTAAAGACTTGCGCTTGCTAGGGTATTCTATGCTGTTGCGAAGTAATAAGTCAATATCACCAAACTTCGCAGCCTGGTTCATACAGCCAGATGCATTCCGATCGGAACCGGTTCGATCTTTTTTCATCTGGCAGCATCTTTTGGTTTTGTAATCAGTCCGTTGAGCCCTGGCGTTCCATTTACTTGGTATGGCAAGTGCGGAGCCTTGTTTTTGTGTGACTTTTTCCAAGTCGACATTGATGTTGTGAGCAACTTGCTCCCATGGCATAGTATGCTTTGTGTACTGCAGGTCAAGGTTAGCAAGTGTGCGCAAAATAGCAATGCTATATTCTATTTAGTATGAGTTGGAATACTTACGCCGTTTTCGAGACCCTTGATTACTTGATGTCTCAAGAGATCTTTTTCAACCTGCGACCATGCTAATCGTGGCGGGGTCTTTGGCCCATTGGTTCGCAGGATGATTTGATTCCTTGCTCTGTTCAAGGCATGTACAGCCTGTTTATCACTCCAATCAAAACCAGCGATATGTGGATACTCTCTGACGTCTATGATGCTTGGGTCCTTGCGAAGCTGACGTACCATGAAAAACTTTGACGTGTCTGGTGTAGCCAAACAAGCAGGCTTCAAATCCTGTCCTAGAACAAATTGCCAAGGAGATATTTCGTGTTTGGTTTTGGAACTCCCAATTTCATCCTCGCATCCGTCATCATTATCGTCGTCTACATCGTCTCCATCGGCTTTATCGCGACTAAGGAATAAAAGCTTTTTACCCTTTAGTGTGTCGTCAGTGTTATCATAACCAAGGTCATCGTCTTCCTGCTCCAGATCTTTATCTGTAATGGGTAAGGTGATTAGTTCATTGCCTCTTGAATCAAATTTGGATGCTGTTGGCACTGCTTCAGGTCTGCGATATCGTGCTTTAAATCTCGCTACTGTCCAATCAGGATTCAATAGAGCTTCGTGTAATATATTCCACCATCTCGCTGAGCCTCTGTCTGGAAAGTCAGGTGAAGCCATGGCTGCAAAAGTGATATCTGCAACAGCATGAGCAGCGGCCTTGATTCGTCCCTGTTCGATCGTGTGATTAATTTTCACAGCCTCCTTCCACTTGTCTTCCAAAACTGCCCATGTAGCCATGGCGACCAAACTCATCTCATGAGCGCTATCGACTTGAACGGCTTGTAGGATTGTGCCTTTTCGCCCCACGGAAACTGGCATTTTCTTATATCGGGAAATTGGCATAAAACCGCCCCAGGGCATCTTCATTCCTTTGCAGATGGTGCAATACTGTCCAATCGCGTGGCTTGTGATATCTCCAGGGATGCATGGTGGGCCGATTTCTGGATATGGCGCCGTAAGCTGTCTTGGCTGGTGTCCTGCCTGTATTTATTGGTCAGTATCTTCTGGTGAAAAATGTCGTGCTAGATTAAGTAAAACTGCAAGTGGAAATAATTTTCATCATATTAAAGACAAACCTCTGGGCTCAATGATAGCTTCGGAGAGAGCCCTTCAAATGGAGGCACCCCAGTCGATGAGTCCGCCATAAATGGACATGCACATGGATCACAATGGAGATCTATGGACTCATAGAACGCGTTATAAATTCATATGAAAGAAAGACATACCATTCTGTTTTTTGATTGGTTTCCTGAGAAATCATAAAGGTGTATCAATGCGACAAGGAAGCGACGAAAATTGCAGCTCGGGCACAATGAATCTTTCACCAAGAAAAGAGAAGGAGAAGCAAGGTAATATGCTCTTTGCAGTCTTTTGCGGTTTTACTAGATCAAACAATCGCGATTAGTATGCTCAAAGAACCAAACAAAATGTGCAACTTACGGATTGTAGGTTTGTGAGATTGGAAAGGACCTTTGAGGCTGCTGCATGCAAATAAGTCGGACTAACAAGCTGGCAAAAGCGACGATCTCTTCTTGGTAGTCCTGAATATTAGAACGGCAGGATTTGCAAAAAGTGAGAGCAACAAAATGAGTTGTAGTGATCAGTCAATGGAAGAAAGCTGCAAGGTCTGCTCTGAATCTCTATATCTGGTTTAGACAGTTGATATCGTTGGTAACAAGAAGCAGTAGTCATAAAGTAAACCTGACAAGCAAGACATAGAAAAGAAATGACAAAGATACATGTGTGTCTGAGGTTTGAATCAAGAAAGTGAAGATTGTTACAACAGAAAGTGATTGTTGTTGTCCCAGAGACGAAGAAGTCACCATGTGAAAATAAATGGTCGAATTTGGCGGAATGAAAGAAATGACACTAAGTTCCCGGTTTCTGTACACAAGCTCTCTCATAAGATAGAATACATATGATCCTGCATCAGAAACCTTCACTCTTGGCTTGTGAATGTTAGGATAAATCTAAAACATTAGTGCAGGTCGGGTTAAGCAGAGGTTAGGGCTATATCTCGTTTGATTCAATTTGGATTATTGAACTTCAATCAAGTTTCTGCTTACTATTGAATAGAAATTTTTTGGGTAGATTTCTCTCAGATGGATAGCCTTGTCTACAAGGCGGAGAGGGTACAACAAGATGGTTGTTTTCAGTTCCTGGATGTGTTCTTGGTGGATTGTTATATAGGAAGATCTTACATCTATCAATCTAGTCATCTCTTTGTCTGCAAGAAACCAGCCTTTTTCCCCCTCATTCATTCATAGTCTTCAATCTATTCCTCCATCTCCATGCTCATCTTTGTCATCTTCGTCATCATCGTTTATTGATTGAATATCTTATACCGCCTTCAGCTCCTAAAGTTAGAAACACTTCAAGATACATTGGGGAACCATGGATGTTCTTTATTTCTCAATAAAAAGCTTGGTAGCATCTCAGGATTGAAAAGATTCCTCAGCAGACATGTTCAATATGCATGTAATGTTTGTTTATGCAAACAAAGTCTAACACAATCTACTATCTCGACTGGAAACTTGCAGGTGAGCTTATGGTTTGTTGTTGTTCTGTTAGTATCATTCTTTATCCTCTATCTCTTCATAAGTGCTTGAATATTCCAGATCTCTGCATGTTATTGGATACTAATCAGTGGCTTGAGTCTTGAATAGGAACCATATCAAACTACACACTCAACTGCCCCGGACCGAAAACGCCTGACTAGTTGAACTCCTTCACACGATACCTCCTTTATCCGAAGATCTATACATTATACATGGCAAGCCCCCCATCTGCGAAGCCTACAATTCATACGACTAGAACCTTCCTATTCGATAGAAACAATGTATAAGGAGGGGGGAAACTTGATGAGTCACGACTGAAATTTCACAACACATGTTCAAGTGGGTCAAGCAACAGGCGAAGGGATTTGATCGGAAAACAGCAGGAGGGAAGGAACTTGATACATGCGCGTATTTTCTTTTGGAACAGTTGTACATCGAGTGTTGTTATATAAGTGGGGAGAGGAAACCAAAGGAGTGGATCCACAACGATAGACACTAAAAGCGACGTGGGAGGAACCATGCACAACTTGAACATTATACATTTGATAGAAGGTTCTCTCTAGAAAACCAAGCCGGCAATAGTGTCTAATGTGGACTGGAAAAAAAATAGGGGAAAGCTAATTGAGCAAACACAAGCGAGACTGCAGGAAAAAGAAGGTACGACGGAGTTGAACATTATCTTCTGCCCTCGTAATGCAATTCGAGGGTTTTGAAAGCTGGAAATATATCAGGCTCGGCGATTCAGAAAAGGGGGTAGTTGGGGAGTAGGTAAGACTGAGAAGTCCGTTGTAAATTGAGAATGAAGAGAACGGCTTTACTGCGTTATTAATTTTGGAGAAAGATGTGAATTGTGTTGGGATGTATCCCATTGATGACATGGCATGATAGAACAATAGCTCAGGATTTTCCTCTCACTCAAACACATATGAAGCCGCAGACGATTACTGGGTAAAACGGGCGTTGAAGAGTGGTTGATTAGATCTAGAAAGAAGCGACTCGACTCGCAGGGAGTATTGATTCAAAGAGTCGGTCATGATGAGTTTACGTGCGAAGATGACTCTATACCTTCATTCCAAGATCCTAGAACTGTAATAAAAGTATAATTTTCATATGATAATGGTAAATCGAGAATACGCAGCTCCCAGTAGAATTTTTAAGACCATGGCGATCTCGGATCGCTTATCACTTCAGTGAATCCCGCTGTATTATAGCGTATTCCAGGCTTAGTGAGGGGCATTGTGACCCCGCAAACACCCTACAGACCCTGAAAATTGAATTTCCGTTCCAAGATTTACTGAGTCGGGTCAAACTCAGGAAACCTTCACCAACACCGTGAATGGCCCCCAAAACTTCTGTGATGTAAGATTGAATAGTTCATTCCCAGCTAAAAAGCAGTTTATTCCAGTGTTATATGTGAGTGATGATTGTGGTTCACAACGTTCCCTTGCAGAGGAAGCAAGCAGTGAGGAATTCGGGGACGAAGTGTTGACTGACATGCCTTTTATCTTGCCAATACTTAACAGTTAAAGATTCAATCAGTCTTTGCAATATAATCCGCTTCTATGTATTTTAATTCTGTAGGTAGTCTCCAAAAATGTAACCCCATTCTAGCGCCTCCTAGACTCCTCCTTGATAGGCGTTTCCTTCCGATCCCTCTCTAGTTATGAACTAAATTAGACGCAGCATTTCCCTCAATCTTGACTTTCCAATATTTTCTATCGTTATATGACGCTGTTTGTTCTAACCTGATTCTGAATCGTTCGAAGAGGCCCTTGGGAAAAAGTGCCTAAAAAGTGTCACGGTGACTCTCATATTAGCCTGATAGTTCGTGAATAGTGCACAAGAATGGTTTAACATTAGATAGATATCTAACAAACTCATAGAGCGACAAAGTTGATTTGTTTCTTACTATCTCTACATGTACGTAGCTTTGTATGGAAGTGCTTACCGGACTCGGTTCAAGGTCACCGCAAATCTCAACACCTAGATGTTTATGGCCATTCGAGTGCTTCTGATCCAAAACAACAATAGTATGGTAGTAAATTTCAGCGGTCTGTCAGATAACCTTCTATTCATCAGTGAACCCTGTTTCCACAGAACGAATAGTACAGATCAGAGAGCTTGTATTGGTGAGAAGGGCAACATCGCACTGCTAATATGTTACGGTCGTCTTTTGCGAGAAGAAGAATTCTAATAGCGCGCAACGAACGCTTGGCAGAGCTTCTTTTGTAAATATTTGGAAGTATGACGAGCGTGCCGGGTAAGATTAGAAGAATAGTGGGAGTTCTAATCGACGTCGATTGTGTAAGTGGAAAGGGCAATCTAGATAGAGTAGGTTAGCACAGAAAATAAAGAGCTAAGGAAAATAGAAGCAAGACTAGAGAGTGCAGAGAAGAGAAAACGAGGAATGCAGGCCAGGATACTCACATTTTCAAATGGAGAGGGACCACGAGTAGTGGTACCAAGTTTGAAGCAGAAAAGTAGGTTCAAGGCGATAGTGCTAAGTCGGCGATAGATTTTCGAAGTAAAGAGCCATCTAGGCGGCAGTAAGATCGTGATGATGCGAGCGAAAGTTATATGAAGAGAAGAGAAATGGCCTGGAGTGTAGCTTTCGCAGAGAATTATGGTTCACATTGGGAGCAAGTCAGAGCGAGAGAAGGAAATACTCTTCGCTAGATGCCAGATCGAGATTAGATTTCTCGGTTCGTTCAAAAACAGTATTAAACAAAGTAAAATCATCAATGGATGATTCAAAATTACACTCAAAATAGTGATCAGTTAGTGCGCGAGATATTTCTCAAGAAACAAGGCTAATTTTGACGTTTTGATATGGAAATCGGCAAGGCAAGTCGTCGTTACAGCATCTCCAGCTAATATCTAATCTTGCAGACAAACTAAGGCGCTATATACTGAATTTATAACCATCAGAGCCTCGCGTGCATGAACTGATCAATATCGTGTTACCACCAACACATAGTCTTACAGGAGCAGACGAAGGCACTGTCTGTGAGAAGGGAATTATAGGGGGTTACAAAAGGAGGCAGCTGGCAGGATCAAGTTAGCACACAACTTCAAGACATCAAAGATAAGCGGCAAATATATTACAAGGTTTCAAAGATCTTAGGCATCAGGCTGCTGGCTGCACATATGGCGGAGGCAAAAGCTAACAGAGTACAGTAGGAGCTTCGCGGGACGTACTACTAAAATAGGCGACTCTATATGAAAGGGCACGAAAGAATGAAGGGACGCAGAGTGTAGAAGGACGATATCCAGGTGCTGAAAAGCCGATAGGGGGTTAATAGCCATGAAGAATTCCGGTACGAAAGTTATACAATAGAGACAGCAGATATCTCTTATGCTTGATGTGCGACAAAACTGCTAGCTAGCACAGCAGGGAGTATATAGACGTATAGCGCTTGAAGTGTGTTTCTTGTCACAATAGATAACTTATTGTTAGAATAATAGATTTAGAGCTATTTGAATTAGTGTGTAGGTTTTTAGCGAGAAGAAGGAAGATTGGGGACAAGATGCTGGGAAGAAGATACTGGGAAGAACTAGAAGATGAGAAGGAGAGTGAGCGCCTAGAACTTATTTGAGCTAGGAAATATAAGATCAGCATGAAGAGTGATAGGAAATTTGTTTACAAAGAAGCAGGAGAAGCAAGAGAAGACATGGGGGCACAAAGATAAGAGGAAATAGGAGGGATAAAAGGAATCAAGGGAGGAGGAAGCAATTAGTCACTTGAGAGTAGAAGAAGAAGTTTAGATTCTAACTGACACAGCTCTGAGCTAAACAGAAGCCGCAGTATGGCCTGTTCCATAGAGCTTTATAGCCGTAAAGAAGCTTTGCATCAGCGATGATGGTTTCAAGTCCTGGTGAAAAGCTTTGGAGTTGGGCTAGATACAATACAGCAGGTGAGCTAAAAGATGCGATAAAAGCAGGACGTTCAAAGCAGGCGAATTAGAGACTTTGATATGATACTATACATAGGTATACGAGTAAACAAGAAGACTATAGGCCTCCTCTCCGACCGCTTCTTGAAGCGGCAAAGCCTTTTACTGTATCGTATGACTGATTAGCCTTACAAAGTAGCCTTGTATGACTGAGAAATTGATTGAATTACGCCACAAAATGTAAAAGACGGTTAAAATCTCTGCCGTATTCTTAAAAATTTGTGATTAATAACTGTAGAGTTTCTTTGCCGTTGAATAATCAAACGTTCGCCGAAGTTGTTCTAAACCAATTCTTTCCACCTTTCTTGCATGTTACATAGTTTTGGTCTAGAAGGCTACCCATTGGTATCACATACATCTCTTCAATATCTCTTGCGACCATAAATATCAAAACCATTGGCGTAATGGAGGGCGAAAACCAAAGAAATGACGACTCGATGGCCTCAGGATCCGGTCTAAACCCAGACCTTCCACTACAATCCATCGAAAACAACGACACAGGCTCTACACAGGAAGTATCAGCTCCAATGCCTCGCACTGGAGAACGAAGACCACAAAGAGGTGGGCTGATCAGAATCCGGCGTCATCAAAGAGTTCCAAGTTCCTCGCAAGTTCCATCATACCTTCTGAGAGCAAGAAGAGGCTCCAGTCCCGCGTATGCGGCAGCTCTCAGTTCTTACCTTGGCCCCATAAATCCTCGAGGACATCAAAGACTGCCTGAAGATCCACTACCTACCATGATTCCCAATCGAGTCCAAGAACCAGAGTCTTACTTGCGAAGAGCCAACACCGAGAACACGCAGTCATTGTCTCGGGCTCGCAATAATAATACATTAGGCTCTAATCATCCAGCAGGATTACAATTACAACCAGGAAAAAATGTTTCTTCTAGTCAAGTAGCCGATCATACAATGGCAGACAGAGTTCAACCCCTTTCTGGAAACTTCCACTATACAGGTCCTATCAGTTACAATCCACTCACCGAGGCACTGAATCCCCGAAACGCTCAATTCTACTCAACACCGATGTCTCCCAACCCAAAAAAACGTCGTCAAATGCAGTCCGATGCTGCTCATTACTCCTCCATTCAGCGATCTGACCCCGCGAATCGACGGTCCTCTCAACGAGATTCATATATGGGAGGCGTGGAACCATCAGTAGATTTGCAAGCATTGAGAAGCGTAGCCGTTGGATCAAGTAATGCTACCCAAGGTGCTTGGGGTGTTTTAATTCCTGTATGTATCACGTTTGTTATTGATTTGAACATGTGCTAACCTGTAGAAGCAACCCCAAAGAAAGAGAGGACGCACGACAGGATCGAAAACCAACAATACTGACTCTGTAACTATGCAGCCACCACCACCGTGCCCCATTGCTCCCAGTCCTCCAGAAAGAAGTCCTGTTCTATCATCTGCTGTAAGTATCTATTGTTCAATACTCTTGCCTCTCAATATCTAACTTCTTTCTCCTCAGATCCCGGTCGTTCTCAACGAACAAATCGATAGACCACGCTCAAAGCGTAAAACTACGTTTAGCCTTGTCAAGAACGCTGCTGCGATGCTTGACCCCTTCACCAAGATAGTTCCAGCTACCGTCAAGCTAGTAGCGGACAACGATGAAGTGTGGGAGTACAGATATGCGGGAACTAGACGGAACTGGAAGAAAGGACAAGGTGGAAAGGTCACTGTTGCAAAGCTCAACGAATGGGCAAACGCTATCATACGTCGCAGACTTCCGGGAAGTTTTCCTCCTGCTGCAAAGAAAAGACTCTTTTCTGCTCCTCCTCCACCTAGGCTAAATAATGACAAGTGGACAGAGTGGGAAAGAGCATTCCTAGAGGCACATATTCTGGATGCAGTGAAGGCTAAGGAGGGCAATCTAGATGAAGAAGATTGGCAGCTTATCGCAGACGCTCAGAATGAGGAGTTTCTTGGTCAAAAGAGACTTCCAGGATTGCCTATGGCACTATTAACCTCGCGTAGTCTCACCATTAATGATGTTCCAGTCATTAGAGGTGGAGGCTATACTAAGACCGAAGGATGTTTTCCAAAGCGCTCAAGCTCCGAGATTCAAAACATTCTCTACCATTGGCCTGATATTCATGAGAAAATCAAGCAGCTTATTAGGAGACACCGTGGGAAGGTTCCAATCTATGTAGATTGTGACACCGATATCAGTGACTCGGAGCGTACGTCAGATGATGAGAATGGAGAGAAGGAAGCAGATAAAGCTGAGATTGGTGCTTCAAAGTCTATTTCTGAGGGTTGATTGCCAATTTGATTAGTAATTTGAGCATTCTCGGGGTCATTTGTAGTTTTTAGAGGGTTAGCATGGAAAACCTGCACATTAGTACTAGAAAATAATAAGCGATGTTTTAAAAGCACTCTCAAATGATCATCAAGATGTCTTGTAGCCTTTCTTTTATATTGGTAGAATCATAAAATCTCTATTTCGAGTTGGAAAAATAGACTAACATAGACTAAAGACTGATTTTTGACTCACTGATATGACTAATTAGCTAGAATAATAGATAATCAAGAAGATATAGATGTAGAGCATTCATGAAATCAATTCTATTCTTCATCAGACAGTCGCCGAAACTAGAATTCTTCATAATGTACAGTAAGGTAAATCGTTTTTTCCGGGACTTATTGTTATAGGTATATATATAGTAGTAAGCTGTCAGGAACCGATCCCTGATACTGTGCTTTTTGGGCAGATTGCGTGCGTGGCGTAGTGGTAAAGCTTACAACTTCTATTGATTCCAATCACGTAACACTTATCCGGAACTTATCCGGTTTTTTCCGGCCTGTTTCTTTCCGAGCAAACTTCTTCGAGATTTCTAACTGGAGTAGAATTTCATTGTTCATTCCTGAATTGTAAAATGAGATTATTATCATCCTTTAAAGAATCGAAAGATATATATTCATCTCGAGGTATACACTTATATTCATCTTAAAAATCAAAACCATAGACTCTTTTTATTGAAACAGAGTCTAAGATGCTTATTACTCCTTCAATATTATCAGCTTCTAATCTATAATAAGTGCTATAACTTTCTTAATTTTAGAGTTTCTTATAGTGTTTTAGATGGATTTGAACTATAAATTTTTACGTAGTATACGTATTTTAGTTATACAATTAGATTACTCTCATCTAATAAGAAGTCAAAGTTCGTATTAATCTCGGTCTATTGTAAAGTCTATTTGAGTTTTTGAGACTATAATCTATACTTCAAATATGAATTGTAAGATTTATTTTATCTTTCGTGATGAGCTGATAGTATATACTGCTTATGATTTTTTTCAAATCTATATGAGATAAGTTCATTTAAAGATAAGATAATACTAAAGTATTGATTTCTATCATATATATCTCAGTTATATAGTAAGTTATTATCGTCTATAAGTTAACGTCGAAACTAAAATCATATTTAGATCAATAACTTGATATAATAATAATATCTATTCTAACACTCTAGACGTTGAATTGTATACGTTGAATTGTATTGAGATAAATGTATCATAAATTAGTTATAGTATTTATCTAGAAATCGCTAATTTACACCACTTGATTTCTGTTAACTATTTTAGTTTATATACTCTGGGAGCAAATGGATCATCGCAGGCACGTGATCTGCTTCACTTGCCACAAGCTAATCTGTGTAACATCGATGCTTGGCGATGGTGATGGTGGGCTCTTTCTCCTACCGAGTGATGTTCACCTCCTCGATCGATTCCGTTGAGTGCATGATCTCTTGCTGTAGTGCCAAGCGCAAAGCCAACGCTCTAAGTAGTTACTAATGCAAATCTCGAAGAGCCTCGGGAACTTAAAAGTGAAGCATCTAACTCATACGAAAATGACTGAGTAGCTAACATGACTAGCGAAGCCGATCACGTGCATGTGATGGTTCGTATACTCTTATAGATAGTTGTATGTTATTAAGATTAAAGAAAATTCAAAATTAAATACTTTATTAATTATACTTCACGAATATAATTAAATTGTATTTCAAATGAGACTTCCGATGAGCATAGTACGAAGTATAGATCATAATATAATAGTATTGAAAGTATTATCTAATCTATATATGTTGATTAGCTCCGAGGTCAGGAGTCCGAGTACAGATTAGAGCTCTTACTAATACTGACTGCGCTAGCTCCATTTGCTTTTGTATAATAAGAATCATAACTTTTATGAGATACCTGAAACTACTATATCTGTATGAACGTAGCTGAATGACCTTAAGTCACTGGGCTACCGTAGTATACCAAGCTAGAAGGCTAGCCTCAAGTATGAAGATTGCTTATTCCTGTACATAGTATGCCTTTAGATAGGATGTAATACTGAGAATAGACAGGGATCCACTACTTTACTACCAACTCATAAAAGTATGGAGTGTTCCGGATGATCCTGGAATAGTGGTCGTACTATATAAACCCTATCAAGTGCAGTGTAGGCAATAGTATACTACAGTGAAACTGTGGCGCGTATTAGCATATTGATATTACAGCTAGTACATATAGAAAGGAGGTTATACTACTCTCGTATATATTCATATACTAAAGAATACTAGCAATATAAAATATACATTCCTATCCAAATTAGGCTTGAAATAAGGGATTCCTATTTAGTTTGAAATAAGGAATGGAAACTTATCATCTAATACAAATAGGAATGTATATTTTATATTGGATTCCAGTATTTCAGTATATTGCTAATAGTATTAAATAACTAAATGATATTGAATACTTTCAGTGGTATTGAATTCTGTACCACATACGTACATATTTCGAAAAAATTCGATACATACCACTAAACTAACCCGTATACGGAATACGGGAAATACTATTGCCTACACTGATCAAGTGATCGCTCCTTAACACTCACTCTCTTCTTGTGTGGATCCACCCGGTATGTGTCAATCCGGAAGGAGCTAGTAATTATAAACATAGAATTATATTAGAAATGCAATAGTTGCAGTTGAACTAAATACCGAGATTAAATTCAAAATACGATTATCCGCGCTCAAATTCACTCCTAAAAAATAGGAATCTCAGAATAAAATACCCTTGCATTCGGAACATAATTTCAAGGATTAGCAGACGAGTTTGCGCAGAAACCAGAGAGTCCGCAAGGAGAACCAGACAACATGGAGGAACGACTAAACAACCAGGAGGACACCGAGGAGGATCAGGCGCTTGTGGCCAGGCAAAACAATAGGGAGGGAAACTGGGATGCAGAATTTGGAAGATTCATATTAAGAAATGCAGAGGAGTGAATTACTTGGGACTGGTTAAATAAAAGCATGCAGTGTTTCGGATGATCTCGGAGCAGTGGTTGTATTATATATAAACCTGTCACATGGCCGCTCCTTGACAACAATTGGGACCCAAAATCTTGGGTAATATGTCATGCGTACTCCTCTGAAACTAAGAATATCAGTACGAAGCAGCATTACTTGTCGGCTATTAGTAAAATTCTGCCAACCACTCCACCTGGGGTGGTTGGCCATGAGGATGATTAGCCGAAAAGTAGTCAGGCATGGGCATCCGTACCCTACTCAGCGCTTTTGTGCTTTCCGGGCATTTACCCTATCCTAAAGGCATACAGCTGGACGATAACTCTGGAAATCCGAAGAAAATGCCGGTTATCTGAAGTACTCAGAATATCGATTTATCAAACAGTCGTCTCACTATCGTCTGATACAAAATTGTTCCAAGTCATATCAAAAACTCAGATAACCATATAGCTAAATCATATGACTGAATCACATTGTTAGATGATCTAATGATTGATTGAAAAATAGCTTAAGAGATTATCTGGATACTATACAATCATACTTGGGGGTACACTCATGTCCAACAGCAATTCACAGGGTATCTATTCAATATTATAATATATAGCAAAGTAGATATCCATCGACATACCGAAACTTATAACCGGATCCATCCCGGCTATGCTTGGCCGAGTGCCCATTCTTAGTATTAGTAGTAGAAAGGTTTCAAAGCACTCTGATTTTTATTCGTCTCTTTAGAGACTCGAACTACAGATTTCTATGAAAGTACGTAAAAGGATTTGTACTAAACTATATGTGTATCGTTGACAATCAAGATGTATATTAGAAAAGATAGAAAGAACTTGAATCAAGTTAAGTTGAAATAAAATGAGTTTGGGGTACGTGAGAATACAAAATGTCATGTAGTGAGGTACCAGAGAACTGTGGGGATCGAATAGTCTCATTGCTTGTTGTAAATTCCAAAAAGAGAAGAGCTGATCTACAAAGAGAAACTATAATTTCCTCCTTAGTTCTCGATCACATACACCCTTGCCACTCTTTTCCACCCGTTGGACTTCGTATCCTCGTGAATCAAAATCACCTTCGCCAGGAAAAGACGGGATCGAAAATCGGAAGCAGAATCAATTTTGTTAGGAAGGAGCAAGGATTATGCTGTAAACACAAGCTCTCAATGCTTTAAAGCTATTCGAGTACCAAGCTATAAATACAGGCGTTTTGGAAAATTCATTCGAAGAGCGACAATTAATTGTGTCATAGTTTACTCTGTCACAACATAAGGTATCGGAGGATCGTAGGGAGCGATTAGTTTAATTGCCAATCTTCAACTATCAAGAGAGAAGAGCTAACATATGAAGAAAACTGTAATAATACCATTGTTCTTAGCTTTTGATCAAATACAACCCTGACATACAAATCTGAGATTTCGATACATTTATTTTATTCTATTTTCGTTTAGATTGATTATTGATACCTGTGAGTATTTTGTTTAAACAAGCGTATCCTGTAAATATCTTCATAGAAATCTGCTGTAAAAATTGCTATGCTCGTCGAAAAACGATTATTAGATTAAGAATGGTTTCGCAGCATATTTTACACTAATTCGACTTCTCGCATGATTTGATCGAGGTTGGTTGAATAGATTCACTGTTCTCATGTACACTAGCTTAGCATTAGTCAGGTAGGTATCGAGAGATGAATCATTCTTGATTTCATAGTTTTGGTGCGACTGTAATTACAAAGCAAGCCTTCGTAGATCTATAATAAATTCTAAAACCACATGAAACGACTCAAGCTCCATCAAGCGGATCATACATCACGATAATCTTGATATGATATTTATCTGGTTTTTTAAATAGCTCTTGCAAATCTGAACTATTTAACAAATGACAAACGATCGCAGGTGAAGATGAGTGCAGTGCTCCTAATTGGTGGGTCGGGTGATACGGTCCGATCGGGCAGACCATGAGTCGGATTGAGTCTGGGGGGTATAGAATGGTGACTCAAGATTGATTGTTTGGGTCGTTTTTCGACTCAAAAGCTTCGAAAAAGAAATCACTACATCATCAATAAATGTAATGGTTATCAGATGCCCATGTGATTTACTCATCATGCTAATCCTAGTCCGAAACTAGCTTGAAATAAGCGATATTTTGTCATAGAGGAGATACTGACATCTTTGAAAACTAATATCATTCCAGCTTTCTTATTCTAATCTATTTGACCTCTATCAATACGATCTAGTATTTAATCGCGACCAGTCAATAGGTTGGATCACAAATGAACTCATCGCCTGCTCTGGATTAATGGGCTGACTTGAGTGTAGTGAAAGAAGGTACGATACCTACCGATTGCGAGCACTTGGAGGGAGAGGAGTAGCACGCAGTACACTCTGTTGCACTTGAGTCAGCCTTCTTTGAGTTTCGGGCTTTGTGTGCATTGGCAACTTCATATTCTTGTGTATAATATAGGATTGAACTATTATTTACTTGCCTGCACATGAATCACGTGATAATCTTGGCCCCGTCACGGATCGAACACTTCAATCACAGTGCGAACTCTCATATGCGCAGGCATATATAGTTAGTTTAGATATGAAATCTACCAATGCTAAGCTCACTCTTCAATTATAAGGTTTGAGAATTTTTCCACTTCGTTAATTCAGTACTTCTCCGTCAAAGTATCACAAGCTCCTCGCTACTACAGCCAGTGGACAGTTTTGATCAACTCATTGTTTATTACCTATGAAGTTCACTTGGTGTAGGTGCATGGATGCTTAAATGTCCAAAGAATGATACATTTCTGATCTGTGGCCACCCGTAAGTTCTATCATCAGCTCGATGATGATGATGATGATAATGTTCGAATATCAGCGCCAGTGTTGTCTTATTGATTCTGCAATGTATATTTGAAGCTATTCAGAATCCAAGAAGCTGGTGTACCAAGAGCTTATCACGTGCCACATTCACTTCCCTGACAGGAACCATTCAAATCTCAAAGCTCACAACTACAGTCTAGTGATGGTCTACCGAGCTTCGAAAACATCATCATTGTATTTACCATCAAAATTATTGTTAATTGTGTCCCTCCTGATGAGGCCTTGGCAATTCAGTAGCTGTGCTGTTCTAGTATACTGTTTACAGCTGACTACGGCTTAATTGAACACTCCGATCCTTGAAATCATCGAGTTTATTGTCACAGAGAAATCGATATCTCTTCACGAAAATTCTCTTAACGGATGTAATGAAAAATAGTCATGATCTCGAAAGGAGCCATAAAGTAAGCTGCATGACAAGAGAAAAGGGAAACATCACGGTACGTCAAGTAAAACAATTTTAAGACTAAATCTGTCCATTTTAAAGCTACTAAAATAATGCAAGGAGTCGTTCTTGCTTTTGAAAAAGAAGTGAACATTCTACTTGCTTAAATCCCACCATGTCATGCTACAGCCTCCACACACATGCTAGCAATAAACCTCTGATTCATTTACTCCTGCTAACATAAAATTACCCACACGCCCCGTCTGATATATACACATGTGTATTCTCATCTCACAAGAGGAGATCTTAAAAACAACGCCTTCCCAGCCACTCAGTTGGCGGCAAGATTTTGCTGGAAAAATTGGATAAGCTTGGCGAAGGGAATTAGCTCAACGCGGTCGTAAAGATCGACGTGACCTGCGCCCGGAATCCAGACTAACTCCTTTGGCGAGCCAGCACGCGAATAGGCATCGTCACTGAACTCACGGGAGTGTGCCTGGTCACCGGAAATGAAGAGCATCGGGCGTGGGGAGATGGTCTCGATGTCGTTGAAGGGATAGAAGTTCAAGAACTTGGTTTGGCTTGCAACAGTGGGATGGGTGGTGAGGTTTGGCGTTGTCGTGGGCGGGGTGAACTTACCACGAGAGGTGCGATAGTAGTCGTAAAACTCGCGGTCAATGGGAGTTGACTCATTGGTGAGCACGTTGGGTGTGCCGCCAGTGACTGCGACTTCTGCCCCGTCAACCTCGGCCCAGCGCTACTCTGATGCATGTTCAATGAGTTGTTTGCGCTGCTCAAGAGATTGGGCGTGACGTATCCCATTGCGGGTAACTGAGCCCATGTCGTACATGCTTGATGTGGCAATAGCCTTGATGCGAGAATCGATTTTGGCGGTGCTGATAACGAACGAACCGCTGCCACAGATACCAATCGCGCCGATCCGCTCGCGATTAACTAAGCCCTGTGTACCCAGATAATCCACCGCCGCGCTGAAAGCCTCAGCGTAGGATTCTGGCGCTACAGTGTTCATTGGCTCACCCTCGCTAGAGCCCCAGAATGGAAGATCGAGCGAGACAGTCACAAAGCCCTGCTCAGCCATCTTCGTGGCATAGAGGTTGGAACTCTGTTCCTTTACTGCGCCCATAGGATGACCGACGACAATGGCCGGCGCACTGGCGGTCTGGTTGCTGCGAGCAAGATTGTTGGGAAAGAAAGTATTTCCCGCGACAGAAGTTCGAAATTGGGTCAGGAAAGTGATCGGCTGAACGGTCACATTATCACTGTGATACCAGTTGTCGGCCCCATAGGACATGTTTTGTGCCATTGCAAGCGAAATGTTAGCAATAGTGGTGCTGAGTGCAGCAATGCTGACGCCTGTCTTCATGATGATGCTGTTTTCTGCGAATTGAGTCTGAGAACGAAGCTTCCTGTGGATGTGAGTGACAAGATAGTTTCTGAAGATGGGAGATATCGCTGGTCTTATAGTAGATGAGTTAAGCAACTAAACTCTGCCCAGAAATGACCTACTTGACGTCTGCTACGTCACAAGCAATGTTATGTAATACTGTAAGGTTTCTTCAAGGAATTAAAGATACACTGCCCCTACAAGGCACTGCAGGACGCGTGTTGCTAATAACCTTTAATCATCTAAGACGCAAATCTAATTGGCTGCAAACCTTCACTTGTGGGTTAATTGTCCCTACACCCGGTTGCATTGCTCTCTTGCCAAGAAACGTTTAATTTATGACAAGCTCCGAGAATAATCCTATCTCGAATATATGTCGTATTCTCTCCAGAGTATTGATCGCGATCGGCCTAAATGTTTGCTTGAGGGAAGGTAGTATGAACCATTGGTAAGTCGCAGCTGTAGCCAAATCTTCCGAGACATTTGTGTGCTCATTTGAAGATCGGGAAGACTTCATCTGGACTAGCGGCGACCTCATAGTTCATACATTCCAACTACTTTTCTTACTAATCGGACGGAGATTCAACAAATCTCAGCTGTTTCGTTGTACAAAAATCTAGTTTGCTGAACAGCAGATGCCATTATCTCGAATCTCAACGTACCTGAGGGCAAAGAACCGGTACTAACCCTGAATAATTCTTGTTGTAGAAGCCCAATTTTACATTCCTGAAAGGGTACATTAAGTGTCACGCCGAGTCTAAGGCTGTGCTACCCATGATATGCAATATGACGAATCGAGATTTCGGTACTGCTGGAGGTACTTAATGATTGCGTCGTGCATCTGAAAGTTCACTTGCCGGCTCGCTTACCACAAACAGACCCACTGTCGGTAGACTCTCCGGAGTGGGGCGTAAGCAGTCTGCATTAGTGCGGCCAAATTCTACTTGGCACGCTCGGCATGATAGATAGGCAAATGAGACGTAACTTTATCAACACGAGCTTCAGTAAAGGCTGTTGTCCAATCGACGAACCGATCGAGAATCGAGATCAGACACTCCAAGATGAAAACAATGTAGTAATTAAGGTAATGTGACGGCATTGATGAAGATGATAATGATAACGATGGCGGGCAGCCTTCAAAACTGTCAATTTGGTTCACCAGGCTGAAGCGAAAATGATTAGTAATCTGCTGGGACTATGCCGGCCACGTGCTCTGGTGACTAGCGGCCGTCAAGAAGCTAAAGAGCGGGAAATCGGTCCATGGACGTCGCCACTAGATCGATTGCAGATACCAAAATTTAAAAATGAGTTGTTCGCCGATACGAGTTCTTTAACGAAGTCAAGAATATTGTTGAATATAATCCCAATTGTTCAATCACAAGAATATCAATCATAAAGTTCACCACGTATTTTGTCCGCACAACATGGAATACAATACAAGACGTCTAGAAGAAGGCGGAGAGCTGGTCGGAAGCGTGTTATTGGGACGAATGCCACAGCAAGCAGAAGTACGTTTTGCGGAGGATGATTGGACAGGTAGAACAAATGCTGCTGAGCGAAGGAAACGTCAGAATCGCTTGCATCAAAGACTTTATCGTAAGCTCGATAATCTGTAAAATATCCTTGTGCATCTTTATACTGGTCTCGGCCGAAACCCTTGGAATGAGTATCTTTGAATCATGTTTATATTCTTATGTTTTTTTAGGGAGACGACAAAAATTATTGAGCAGGCAATCAGGCCCTGCAAAACTGGTCATGGAAGAAACGGAAGCATTGGAACCAGGAATAGACCCACACTTGAGTACCCTCCTCGAAGTCATCAAACAACGGAAGCAACCCCAGAATCTTGCAGATACCGTTTCCCCTGGGCAATTTACTGAATACGATTACAAACGAATTCTAATTTCATCAGACCTGACGCCTCCCCAGGTTCAACGCATTATTAGACAAGTTGAGCATTTCATTTCTCGTCAGCGCATGTCCAGCTTTCCCCGAGCTGACCTCCTTCTCACTCTGGTTCAGTTCAACGTCTTTCGTGCTTTGTTTAGCAACATGGTTGACCTGGGGTTCAATCTTGACTGGCTGACGGCAGATGCAATTTCACCATTTTTCCAAAACACATCACGCGTTTGGGACACGAGCTGCCCAGCCAGTCTCTGCCCAACTGCACTTCAACGTCAAGTCTCTCATCATCCTTATTTGGACCTGTTTCCTTTCCCAGAATTACGGGATAACATGTTAAGCAAAGGTGAAGATTTCGATGACGACGATCTCTGCCATGATCTCGTTGAAGTCGGTCATGCTCCATCCGAAAGGAGTGGTCTTATCGTTTGGGGCAGTCCTTGGGATCCATCCAGTTGGGAGGTCACACCAGAGTTTGTTGAAAAGTGGCCCTGGATGTTGAAAGGTTGCAAAGAGCTCTCAAAGTCAACAAACTTCTGGAGGGGTGAACGCGGAGAAGAGGAGCTGTATTTTGATATCACGCTTTCTGAAAGAGTGGATTTTTAACTTTGGCACAGAGCATTAATTGCTGCTTGTGTCCTCACACGTCCGAGAAACGGCAAAACAGGATGATTCGATTCAAAATCTCACTCCATCAACGGAATTCAAGCATTAAATACAGGCCTACTAGAAGTTCCTTCGGTACACAATAGTGTGAGAAATATTCAGATCATTTGCGCGGCTCCACGGCCAGACGTTAAATCAGAAAAATTGAAAGCTACAGTACAAGTGGCAATATCGAGATTGATTCCCCCCCTATGGCAGAAACAAGCCTTCGTCCACAGGAGCTGCTTTCATCTGATCCACCTGAATTTCCTGGATCAGCTCATTTCCAGGGTAATCATCAACGTCCAAGTCCAGATACCCTGCTGGTGCCCACTTTCTAGCCGAGACAAAGAGTGATCTGCCGTTAATTGTTCGATCAGACAAGATTCGCAATAGAGCATTTGCTGCATCTCCTGCTTCCGCGAATTGTACTCCGCACTTTTCCACGTGCTCGAAAGCTTCCGCAGACAATATCGACGTCTTGACGTACCTATCGTCAGATTAGCAACTTGAAGCTTGAGTTTAATTGGGGATTTGAGTACCATGGAGATATGACGTTGACTCGGCTGCCATGGTAGAACGCTGTCCTTCGCAGGGAATGCATGATGCCTCGCGCAGCCCACTTTGTGCTCGGGTATACAGGTCCACGAAGGCAGTCCAGAAACGCTGCCCCAGATCCGATCAGCACTAAGCATGTATCCTCTTGCTGTGGCGATGGCTTCTCCTCGTTTTGTTCTACAAAGTAGTGAAGAGCTAGTTTGGTGGTGTACAATGTCCCTTTCAGATTGACATCAACTGTTTTCAAATTTGGTTCCGTGGGCTCCTGGCCCTTGCCTGTACATCTTGGTTAGCTGAGTGTTGGCGGTTTAAACAATATATTTCTTACCTGCGAAAGTAAAAACTTCATCGGGAGCACATATGCCTGCGTTAGCGATAACATAGTCCACCTTTCCCGTGAAAGATGCAGCTTCAGTGAAAAGACGACGCTGATCTTCCCAATTAGTCACATCACACTTCACAAATTTTGCGCTTGAGTGATATTAGCACCAAATCCGAAGAACAATGGAGAAACAGAGTCTTACTGCTCAAGCTCCGATGCCAACTTCGGACCACCTTCGGAGTCCATATCCCCGATGCATACATTGACGCTATGTTGATTATGTTAGAAACAAAAGGAATGTCTGATATTAGTAACCTACCCTGCAGCAGAGAGCGCCCTTGTGTATGCTTCGCCAATTCCATATGCACCTCAACTTGGTCAGCACATTTTGCTGATAAGAAATAATTCCTCTTACCTCCGGTGATGACGGCAGTCTTTCCTCTCAAATCCTTTGTGTCAATCGTTTTCGTACAATCTACTGGAGGAGAGAGTTTGTAGCCTTCCATGTCTGATGAAGGTAGAAGCCGTGGAGACAGGTAGAAATTAACTTACTTTTACAAAAAGAAAACGATATGGTAGAGACTGAGAACCAAGATTTGAAAATCGTTCAAAACACAGCTCAAGGCTGGGGCAGATGTCGCTGCCTTTATTATACCACTTATGAAGCATGTATTCCCGTCATACACGACTTCTAGCGCACTTACCCTTCGCAAATAAAGGAATACTTTTGTTCCTGCAGCTTGTTCACGATGATGTAATTCACGTGATCTAGACATCTTGCCCGGCGAAAAAGCAAATGTCAAGACGGCTGCTCGGTGATGTCATACCAGTAATCCACGCATATTCTCGGTCTCTACGCGTTGGTACACTTCTCGTTCTCTTTTACATACCGGCGGTTTCTATTCACTTTCCACAGCTATTCTTCTTCCTGTTCGAGCAAGGATTACCTACTCAATATCCAGCCCTTTTTGGGGGACCATTCCTTAGCGCTGCACTTAATACTATTAAGGATTTGCCAAGTCCGAGCTAATGCACTCTGCTTATGGTCCTTACGAATTGAATGCCTGAGTCATGTGCTCAAATACCAAGGCACGTGTTGCTTGGCTGCCAATCTTTTAATTATTGAACGACAAACTATTCCCAATTTTTATCATTGACCTTTAAGAGTAATTCATGCGATTCGTAGTTCTGCTTATAGGTATATTTTCTGAACGCCATTTCAAAAAAACAGTCGATGTGATTAACTTGCGATTTACTACAGAGTTTAAAGCTGCACGGCGAGCGTTTTTTACGACATTGAGAATTTAAGGGAGCACTGATGGAAGATTGAATGCTATTAACTAGAAGTTTCTAGATGCTATCCGAGAACGAAAGAGCCTGCAGCATTTTGAGACATGTGCAATAGTTCTCCCATTGGACCATGAGTGGAGCTTCGCAAGATGAACACGTTTTATCGAGATTTCAGTTTTGATTTGGAACATTGTCGTATTCTAGTACTTCTAGCCGTAAGTTCTCTCTGAAAAATGAAGGTTTCTCCTTCTCAACAACTATTTGGTGCTTCAAATTTCTTCCTTTCACCGTCGTAATTCTGTGTGATCTGTTTATGGAAACTCACAAGAATGATACCTCCAGTTCAAAGGCATGGAGAACAGGGGATCCTTTCAGTTGTTGAATCCCATTGCTCATGGAAGCACAACGTGACATAATCGTAAAGATCATAATCCCAAGCATTATCTAGAGCCTTCCCATAGAGGTTTCATACATCATATAGAGACAAGAATGATATTGAAGTAAAAGATGTCAATTACAAGCCTCACAGTTGTTCATATTACGGGTTGAACTGAGCTCAAATTCTCCGAAAATATCAACGCAAGTTACTGTAGATACTCGAACAGTTTTACCAGCCAGAAAGCAAACTTCCGAACGCTGACACTCGCTGAGAGTCTTTGTAGAATTAATCCCTCAAGTCTTTGCTTGATAAATTCTTGATTGAGCCTCATGAAATCATTACAAGCTGCGCAAAATCAAAAGTTTTAATCGCTTTATTCACACAGGTTTGAGGTGACTTGCTCATGATCATTTCAAAATCCAGAATCCTCAATAAAATTACATTAGTTATTCATTAACGCTTGCTGTCAAAGAAATCATCTTTTCCTTTCTCATAAATGTGATCGATTTCGTGAACTTGTACAAATTCATCTATCACTGAGTCACAGTCTCTCCTACTAAAGTTTGATGTTACATAGTCCAAATACCTAGGTAATATCGATGATACCGCATTTGTCATTCAGGGGTACTCGTCTAATGAGAACCGGATCATGTAACATATGCACGTGATTCACAACATTCGCCTCATATTCACTAAATGATCAATTGATCCCAAGTCGAACTAGTCTGTACAGCTCTCCAATTAATTCAAGAGGGCTCCGAGATCCTCCTTTGTTCTTACAATGTCGAAGATTATCAAAGGTGGACATCAACATCCACATCTAATCAAGGTAAATTCCCCTCTAGCATGAAATTATCTATATCTTCGTCTGCATCGGTAAATAGGCTAACAATAACTCTCAAATTAGCTTTATACCAGCATAGCTCTTTAAAAAGATTCTTGGAAAGTTCAGCAGCAGGACAACTCCTAATTCTCAAGACTCCCTTAAAAGATGAATACATCACTTCCACCTCCTCTTCGAAGCAAGCTTGGCGGCAAGCGCGACTGGACACTCAAACCTAGGCAAGACCTCACACCAGCAGTGATCGGATTACAGGAGCCCAACAAAATGCGAATCGCACTTCTCAGTGTGACAGAAGCCGGCTTGAGTCGAGAGGTCTATTACGATCGGGGTTATGGCAATGGCGAACCATTCGACTGGAACGATTCGAGCGACATTTTTCTCTTGAACGACTGGAGACGAGAAAAAATCCGCAAGTACACGCCTAGAGACTTGGCACAGATGGAACGCACAAAAGATGTCAGAAATCAGGTTATTGAGAACAAAGTTGTCAAGAAGCCAAGGGCTCCCAGGACGATTGTAGAGCAGCCTCAAAAGCCGCAGATTGTCCAAGGACAAAAGTCGACTAGAGTCCGAGAGCCTCTAGATCCCAAAAAGAATACTGATGAGGATTTCATCACAATGATCACCCGCCGCAGAGAGATGGAGACATTCCGTGCTCAGAAACGCAGAGCTGCGCGCCAGGTAACACCAAGACTTGCAAATGGCCATCGCCAGCATCCATCCAATCGCCAAGGACCTATGGAATTTCTTCCCGTTGATCTCGAGAGACTCAGTAGTCTGACACCAAAGCAACAGCGACGCTATCAGAACACGCACGTCAAGAATTGGTTTGTTATCTTTGAGATGATTGAGAAATCGTTCGAGTTACCGAGCCGGGGAATTGGAGTCGAGTATAATCTTTGAGTTTCTCAGCCTGGTCTCAATTTTGAAGTACATTTCTTGGTGGTAATCTCTGGCGTTTCTGCACCTCTTCCAGGTACCAGATAGTTTCAACGGAAGTGTTGCCACACGTTTTTCAAGATATTGGGATTCGATCGATACTACTGCCATATCAGGAAACTAGTCTACAGATTTGTAGGAGGATAGAGCCTGTAGGAAGAGGCTCGCAGATTCTTAAATCTTTTCACCGTAGTTTACATTATTGGCATTCCAGTTGTATCAATAGGATTTACTATAAGGGGCTGAATTCACAATACAAGAAACCATAACCGTCAGCTTATCGAGTTTCTTTCCTCGTGTGACTTCTTTCGTAGACATTGCCTGTCCCAGACTCTTGACTTTTGACCTATACCCAAGCCTGAATTCTCAACCTTCTGAAATGTATAAACCTCTAGCTAAAATGGGTAAAGCTCCATTGAGACTTCGGTAATCTATCGACAATATACATCATAGATGTGAGTCTAGCACCCAGTCTCTAAATATCTCAAACAGTCCATTTTATACTCCTTCTGAGCTGTGGATTCAGATATGCACTCGAATTGCAGATTCGAGTGACTATGACTCGTACTTAAAATATCTAAACAATTTTTACCCGTCTCTTGTACCTGCCCAGCCATTCGATCTATACCACCATTAAATATCACGCCAAAATTTCTTCAATCTGCCAAAAATTGACTCCAAATCCGTTAGCTCGGGCTTTGGCGGGACTATCACTATTAAATCGAAAGCTTATGACGACAGATAGATACGAGTAAATACAGGTTTATAATTGGGGACATCCAGGTCAAATAGTTCAATTATGAAGCTCAAGAGAAACACCGTCTTGGTGCTGCAGGATAGTCAGCCAGAAATGAATGAAAGATGGCTGTTAGCCATGGTCAATTGGACATTCGTCTTCAGCCTGAAGTAACAACACATGCAGTAGTAGATGACTACAGCTGAGACAGCGGTAGAAAAAATCTATATAATCTGCATAATTACCGGCAGAGGAATGAAAGGAATATATGTGACCTTTATTCAGAATTGACAGAAGCTGGACGGTGACACAAAATGAACAGGACCTCTTGAAATTTCTCAAATTCATAGCCTTTACTTAATGTTAGACCTGGCAGTTCCGATGCTTAATAGTAGTTTGATGAAATGTTAAATTCCCAGTCGGTGTATCACGATTTGATTCAGTCAGGCTTGGATGATGAAATCACAGCACATTATGTAGAAGCTCTATTATCAATGCCGAATCAAGACCTAATAATTCTGATTTTTCTACAACGTCAACTTTCCCGAAACCCATCGACTAGAACACAAGACCATCAATTCTTGTCCCAAAGAGTCCGGTGCTAGCCTCATATGACAAACTCTTGCTGCCTCATGAGAAATTCAACACAATCGAGCCCCAACAAGATTATTGACTGAAAGACGACTTCTCGATGATAGATTCGCATTTCAAAAGCAGACTTAACTCCAGATATCTTTAGAATAGAATGCGTACAGGTGTGATGAGTGTTACTGATCCTCGTCGAAAGAGGAAATTCTTAATTTTTTCGCCGAGAACGCATATGCAGCAGCGGTCGCATTTGTAACCTCTATCTCTCTCTTTCTCTCATTCTGTTCCATCATGTAGTCATCTTTCAATTCTCTGGGGTCGTTATCGGCAACCAATTTTTTGATTTGGGTTTTGGTTCGATATACTCCGAGAGTGTCGTTAAACTCTTTAGTGACCGACGAAAAATCCACCCTTGACACATCTCCATCGCGAAGACTAGGCTCATCCATGTGCTTGATTATTATATTCCCAAGTTTGCATTTTTCTTCCGAACACCATGGAAAAGTAAAACTAAGCCCCCTTTCTTTCCTTCTAGAGAAACCCCTGATGTTCTCAGTAACATTGTTTGTCGCCATTGATTAAGCATCACAACAGAATTCCGTAAGGTCCAGTCCACTTTCGGTTTGTATTCAAATCGGAATCGGCCCAATTTAAAGTGCTCAGCGTTGTCTTGTTTCGGCTCATTGAGTAAACTTATGTACTCAATGATAGTCTTGCTCTCGTCTGGTAAGGGAACTTTTGCCTCCGTACGGTCGTTATTGTCAATGTATCTGATTCCTTTCCATTCGAACATTCGTGGGGGACTCTAGAGTTGATGAAACTGTTAGCGGCCATTGAAGTAGATATTTGGAGCCATACTTGACCTCCCTCAAAAACTTCCACTTGAATTGATTGAATTAAGTCCTCATCCATTGAACTGTCCGGTTCTATCTTCCTATTCTTGTATGCTTCTATGACACTCTTCAAGCAGGGCTCAGTTTGACAAAGAGCCTGAATACTAGCGGCACTCCTTTTTGGTGCAAAACGAGCTTCGAGTAGTTTGTATTTCCCGTCTTTCTTAAGAGAGCCTTTCTCTTGTAAGCGACCCTTAAAGCGACGATTGAACTCTTTCTTAACTGACTTCCAAACGATTAGATGCGCGCCTCTCTTTTTGCGACTCTTCAAGATTTCGAACAAAGTTTCTATCTCTTCAAGTAGCCAAAACGTGTCACTATTTGCGGTATTATTCTGAGTTGACTTCTCTGGCACGTATTTTCTCTGTTTTGATTCGACTCCGCCTGAGAGTCCTCGAGAAATTGGTAGGTCGCCCGCTTGTTTGGACATCTGGAAATATTTGGATCTTTACTCCGTGATAAGAAAAAGTATTGTGTCAAAATTGGATAAATCTGTGATATTTTTATTCTTTGAGGACTTTTTTTCATTCTGGGATGGAATTTATTCATTTTCTGGGCCACTACATGGCTCTTCGCGCTTTCTTTTATTGGAAATTTGTTTCTGTGTAGTCGGAACGGGAGTCACAATCAGGCCGTCTGCACTTTCCCGTGTGCTCATTGAGATCAGCGCCTTAGCCGCCTTTGAAAATCAAATTAGCATCATATCATTCGATTGGGATCAAAAAAATTACCTCGAATATTTCCGCTTCAGTTTTATTTCGCACGGATGTTACCTCCCGACTATTCTCAAAATTGGTATTCATGCTTTCAAGAGATAATGGATCATCGTCCTGTCCCTGAGCAGATTTTTTTATACCAAGTCCCGTGATGACCTGTATCTCATGATGCCCCCATCTTGCCCATTGATCTAATTCTGCCTCCGCTTCATCTTCATCAAGATTCTCTAGGTCTGGCGCTAATCGACAAAACTCTCTCCGAATCTGGAGATACATCTCTGGCTGGCGTACAGGACTCAATTTGGTAATTTTGAGTATATCCGTGCAAAGCTTTGTTGCATTCCCAAGAGTGAAGACCTTATCTTCATATCTGGAGAATAGTATGAGGTGGCGCACTATATCACGACAGAGAAAATTTCGATTGAACGCATACGAAAGGTCGCGAACTGCAACCATTTCAAATTCGTTCAAGTCGGTACCTTCAATGAGCTTGAGGTTGAAAGGATGAAATCTTTCTGCTGCACCAGCAGCTTGAAGAATCTTTCCCAGAGATTCATCGTCGTCAAAGTCCAGCGTATCAAATAGTCTGTTCCAACGATAGTATCTCTGGTCTAGTACTGGATTGTTCCAGCGAGGATACTCTGAGTGAAGAAAATGTGGTGCCATATTATGCAAGCGTCTTAGACTATGCAAGATCTAAATCGATTCTTCGATGAATTAGTGTACGTATTATGACTTCGAACTGGCACTGCAAAGATGAGGCTTGAGATCGAAAGGCAGGAGTGCGATGGATCGTCTTTTAAGAAACTAACCTTTTCTTGTTTTAACTTCAAATCCAGAAGTTCCAAATTTATGCAGAAACTAAAGTATCCAAATTTCGATTCGTTGGTAGCCCGGCTCAAGATTGCTTGAATTCGCAAGATACTGAGAAGTCAAATCAAACAGAACCTCCAATCGTGCTTAATTATTAACAGTCAAAGTGGTTTACGTCCTTCTGATGTCGAGAATAAAAGGTGTGGATTGTAAGAGAAATCAACTGTATTGTCGAGAAGTATTTCTAAAATAGAACTCGGGCCGTAACGGTGATAGTATCAATCTGGTGAACGGAATTAAGTCACGTGGAGGTGCATTAGATTGTGCCGTACCGGGACAGTTTAGATTCGACGATTTCAATGTAGTTTTCATAGAAATAAATACCTTATAATGTGTGAAGAAACATGTGGCTATTAATATTCCCCATTCCTGAGGGTAGATGGATTTGCTGTGCATATAATCCCAGGTCGATCTAACCAGCTCTAGATTCCACGTATTCTATGTTGGATGAAATATAAAACCCATCCATGTAATTGAATTGTTAGAGATTCATTATCTCGCCTTACATCTGGTATGTACTAGTTGACTACAAGCTCGAATTTCAGTTCTACACAAGAAACCTATATTGCCATCCCTTCAACTCTTCAACATCTTTGTCTCTTCTTGAATTATATGCATCGAATATTTTCTTCCTTAAATCTACAAGCAAAGAAAGTTTGACTGTAACCCCTCAATTTCAGGTTATCAAGTATACACCCTTCACTAATTCTCAAAATCTAACATCTCTATTTCTTAGGGCTAGGGTTATCCATTCATTAACTGTAGCTGTGGAAACTTTAAACTCAGAAAGCATCTACAAAGTCTTATTGGGAAAAAATGAAATGAGAGATGGATCATTTCATCATCGATCAAATAATCTCTTCCTCAGTTTTCCATCGCGCATGGCAAGTAATTTATTGCAAGTCTTCCATCTCAATCTCAATATCTTCTTCCTGGTTGTCTAGTTTCCCACGCACTACAGTCTCATTATCTGAACTGTCTTCTATTCCGATTGGGTTACTCTCAGCGCCCAGCTGATCACCTTGACTCTTATGGTTTGAAGAGCACGCGTCGTTCTCTCTTTCGGTCTTTAGTTTCTCCCAGGCTGGCCCGCGTCTTGCGCCTCCACGACCTATCTTCCTTTTGTACGGTGTTGTTCGTGCTTTTGGAGTATAGGTATCATCTTCGCTATCGAAGATCGGCTCTGGCTGTTGCTTCACAGGTTGACGCTGCCTTTTTTCACCAATAGGTACTGATTTTTCCTTCCCCCCACGCTTATTATAATCAGCTAATTCTTTCGCCAAAGCATTCCTTACATTTTGAACCTCACTAGAATTAGTCTGTAGAGGACTAAGCTCGGGGGGTGGAACGGTTTCGTTTGAAGCAACCCCGTTATTCTCACTTCTCCTTAGAGAATTTCTTGTTTTACGACTTTTTTGCGTTTGAGCTTCATCTCTTGATTTGGCAACTCCAACTGCGTTATGATCTCTCAGATTGTTCACCATTCTAGTTCTAGAGGTGTTATTACGCTTGTCTGGTTCAATGACTGGGTAAATTAGCTGGGTTCCTGCGGATGAACAACCAATCTGTACTCACCAGCCTGCTTTTTACTATTGTTGATTCTATGAGTGTTCGGCTTGTTTATAGGCGTAGATTCATTCCGATTCTCCTGACTCTCCTGGTTCTCAAAGTCCTGCGATTCAGTTGAGATACTTCTTGTAGGAGACTGCTCAACAACGCTTTGTTTTCTCTTTTGTCTTTTATTCGGAGTAGTCCTCTCTTCTCCGTGATCGCACATAACATTTTTTTCCTCTTGTTTATATGCATCTTTTTGTGTTTGGAGTATCCTTTGGCCACTTTCCTTGTCAGAAAGGTCCTGGTACTCGTTGGCGTCAGACTGTACAAGGCTTCGATTTTTCCCGATTTGCCTTTCTACCTCCTGAGTCCGTAAACAATACTTCCGTGCACTTTCTACCCCTTTTGCAACCAGAAAATCTGCCCTTGTCACATCACAATCCTGGATTAAGCGTTTCATATGAACTTGATATCTTTCTCCACGCTTCCATAGCTTCTGGATGTCGTTGGCGGCTTGTTGCTCAATCCAAGTAAGGTTCGAGGTTGAAGTACCAAGTAAGCTCGAGACAGGCCCAGATACGCATATCTTGATTCCTTGTCTCGTAAATTCATCAATGGGTGGAAGCGTGACGGCTTGCCTGACAACTCGGCGGATCGCTTCTGGATCTTTGATATTGATTTCATCCAGAAGCTGCACGTATGCTTGACCTCTAATCATTACAATGCCTCTCATCTTGCTGGCTCTGTGCGATATTTATGTGAGACTCTGCACAAAGTTTTCCATCTAAAGAGAATTGAACATGAGTATCTTATGTCTTTGAATCTTGCCAGCTATTCATTTGATCCTATGAACTCAATTTATGTAGTTCCAAGGATGATATCTCCTTCCAATGATTCTCTATCCTCGAGCGTTGTGTCTGCCGTGGACTATCCAGATATGGCATGGGAAGAGAAAGCTTATTTATTCCCTAAGAGTAAAAAAGATTATTTTTGATGGTGGAAATTGAACAACGCTCAGGAATCCGATGCGGTAGAAGTTCCATAGGCGGGGATACTTAATGCAGAAGGATAATGAACGCCGTTGGATAGATATTCGTGTCTTTATGAATTAAAGGCTACCTCGGTGTGTTGAGAAGATTTAATAGACAATAACACAAACTAAGAAACTGTAGAGTAATACATAATTTGTACTCGAAGAGAGTTCACAATGATCTATCAAAATCAGTAATCGACAACTACACGCATCTTGTTCAGACAACTACATGGTGACTTACCCGATATCAATGCAAAATTTTGGAGTGATATTTGTATGAATTATGCTGTGATGTTTTGGAAAGATTGAGACATATCAAGGGTAATAGTGGTAAAGAATGAGGAAGGAGGTAATTGTTCATCACTTCTGTCCTTGCCATAACTCTTGACCCTGCTACCCTTGGTCGCAGGAGCTACGCATTGCACGGGGAACTTTAATAACTCATCTACAACTGCCCAAAAATCACTTAAAAGCTCCACTCTGCTATCAATTGCATGATATACTTGGAAGGGGAACATTACATCACAAGTTCAGGTAGGTCCATGTGTATTTAATCATCTGAATTGTTCTCTACGCTAAAATTGAATCAACGATTCGTGACCATACAAAGTACCGTTGAGCTCTTGATAACATTTCCCTTGATTTGAAGAATGTGTAAGAATCATCACTTCCATGCTCGAAATTTCTAGGAAATACCCTATGATCGAAGCAAGGGAGTATTTTTGATGCTTCCGAAACAGGAAATCAGAAATGAACGAAAAGTCAACAATCAAAGACTTAGTCCGAAGCCCAAAAGACAGACTCGAATGAAGGCTCAAACTAATTTGAAAGAATCCCAATTCAGCAAAGTTTGAAAACAGAAGAATTGAAGCGGAGTAAAACCAGATGCAAGACTCGTTTAAATTCCAGGAGCTGGCTCGGAAGTGCTGCGTTTTTTGGCATTGGCTTCAGTGATTTCTTCCCCAGCTGTTTCTCTCATTCGACGACTGACTTCACAATCAGGTAGATGAGGAACAAGTGGTCGTGTCTGGGTGAAGATTTGATTAAGAGGGTTTGCTGAAGGGTCTGATATCTGCGTAAGAGTCATATGGTGCGAGCTGGATTCTGCGGTGTTTTCTTCCGTTGCGGAAAGGTCAGATGCGAATGGAACAGGTTTCGTGGGAATAGGCGAGTTAGAAAAAGGTACCATGCGAGCAGTAGGCATTTGAACAGGCGTATTGCGAGTAGATGCAGTGGAACCAAAATTCACAGGTCTAAATCTGACTGGAGCAGGTACAGCTGCAGCAGGTGTAGGTGCAGGTGCGATAGTGGGTACAACAGGTCTGTGAGCAGACCACTTCGACTCTTCAGGCAAATGATCATACATAATTGCAGCCTGTTCAGCCAAAAGATCAAGAGCTTGTCGTCTATCACCAGTTTCTTGACTCTCATTAAAATTTGTCGAGTAATGGTGCAAATCAGTTGATGGCTTATCATAAACAATCTCTTAGTTGTAAAGACTGCGCTTCCTGGGTCGAGTATGAGGTGGCTTTGCTTTGTTTTGAACGATGGCCTTCTGGCGAGGTTGAAGTGGTCGAGGCTGGGTAAGAGGAAGAATTGGAGTTGAAGCAAATTCTGGTGATGCTTCGACCATAGAGCGATCGGCCTCATATGTAGAAGAAGCAAAAGAGCATTCTTGCTCGTCGTGAGATTCTTGAGTAAGTACTTTATCTTTGATTCGCTTCCCCAATTGGCTTTGCTCGCGGCGAGTCCTCGCTGGTGGATGACCATTTTTCTGGGGAAGGGTACTGTCTCGCAGTAGTTTCATCACTGAAGTAGCGTCGGGAGCGAGGAAGAAACCCATCTCTTGGCGCAAGACCCAATCATCCCGTTTTGGTATCTGGCGATTTTCTCGAAGTGGTACAGAGATACAAACAGCTTCTCGGGGATTCTGATCGCTACTCTGGCAACGATATCGCCGGGGAGCACCAGGTGTTCCTTTATTCTGTTCAATGTTTTCAATTGAGGAGTTGTAATCGCTAGCGATTTGCGCCCAATCGATATCTTTTTCGGAATCAAGATGACTCCGAACTAATTCGGTGAGTATCTTTTGTTCTTGTACAGTCCAAAAGTTCCCGTTATCATAGACTTTACCGATGTTTCGTCGAATAACTTGATTTCGCCAATTATTAAGTGCATGCAAAGATTTGGCGTCATTCCAATCCACTCGAATGCTCTTTGATTCATCCTCGTATTGGAATTCGATATCGCCTTGAATCAGTTCATTTGAACATTCGTCGGTTTCTTCGGTCTTGAACCTAACTACAAGTTTAGATAAGTCTGGTTTGCCAAGAATCGCAGGGCTCCGGTCAATGGTTCCATCGTCGATACAGCGCGTGCCTCTTTTACCCTTTGGGGCATGTCTTTTGTTTAGCTAACGTGTCTTAGTTTGATACAAGGGAAAAGAAGTGAAGGATATAAACTTACTCGTTGTTTCTTCTCCTCCTCGGTTTCACTAGCTAGGTCGGGGGCAAGAGCTCTTCTCCATTGCAAATAGCCTGGTGCATGACCAGGACTGAATAAATTTTTTGAATCAGTGTTTTCGGGCGTGTTAGTGGTGTTAAAAGGTTCGTCGACATTTGCAAGGAACTTGAGGGCAAGTTTGGGCTTCTTGGTAGCGCTTTTTAGCGGTGAGGTAGGCTTTCCTTGGAGATGCTCTGGAAGATTATCGGATCTCTGAGGCTTCGGGGTCTTCTTATAAGAAGACATTGTGAAGGTTCCTATTGGCATGACATTGTTAGAATGCCTGTTCCTGCAATTTTCTCATAGGTTTCCACAAAATTTTATGGAAAAACGAAGTGAGAGAATCCAAATTGCCAAGTAGATTACTTCCTTGACTAAAAGTAGATAATGGGACGAAAGAACCATGGCTTATTAACCTTTTCTCATAGATCTTCTCCCAATACCATGAAAGAAGTAATACAAGAGCGGATTTAATGACTCACTGGTATAAAAGAGGAAAACACCAATTGCACTTTTCCAAAGGATCAGATATCTGTCATCCTTGGTTAGATCAATTTGTCCTTGAGGATACTTCTCGGAAAGCTAAGCAGTCAGGTTCTGTTAGATAACTTTTCGATGATGACAAGAAGAAAAATGGCACGAATCGATGGGGATAAATTTGAGATCGAGTGCTGGTGATAAGGAAGGGCGTTGGCATTCTTGCTGGCGGACTTGCTTTGTAGGATCAACTCTTTTTAGAGTTTTACAGAAGAGTATCATAGAAAGATCGATAGGATTGAAGAATGCTTGAGAGAGTGAAGCTATTGTGGGCCGGTTAGTGATGAAGTCAGGTGTATTGAGGTGTGTTATGATGAATACATGCTATTATCGGCTTCTGCTACTGCTACTGGCAGAAGAATAATTCATCAGACAATTTCTCAGCTTTATTTGGAATATGAGGATGAGAAACTTAAAACTCTTGGTATTTATGGACAATAAAATGAAAGCATATAATAGACAAGGCAGTGAGTGAATACAGGAAGAAAGGAATGTCAAGCAACATACTTATCTTAGATCGCTTTCGCACGAGTCTTGATATTGATTTTTTCCTCAGCAAATAGTTATGATTGATATTAGAAATACTCAGAATTGAAATTAATTTCAGACTAGATATTCCTGTTGATTCATGAGAGCAATTCTTGTTGTCGATGCTGTTGTTGTTGTTGAGGCTGCAACATGATATACTGAGAAGTCCGAGTTTGCTATCTTTCATGTAGTTTTATAACAAACTGGGCATGCTTCGGCAGAATAGATATCTTCAATCATTGTTAAAACATTATTAAGTTCATTTGGTCTAATCTAATATACAATTAGACATGGTTGATATTAGAATAATTAAGTTGAATGGCACTAGCCTTGTGCTTAGACGAGGCTGTTTGATGGGACCATAACTTTTACTTGATAGGTATCAAATTCAAAGTCCTGCGGATATATTTTGATATGATTGGAGTTCCAAAATGTCATCTTTCTAGTCAAGCTCCTACCCTAGATAACAAAAAGCTCACAAGACTTCAGTTGAATTCACGACTCTTCAAAATGACCTTGAATAAACATCAATTCTATTGGCCTCATTTTGCTCTTTATTGCTCGATCTACCATCCACTGATCTACCATTCATTGAGCAACTGGTAATGAAATTCAAGACGATAAGGAAACCACCAGTAACATATCTGTTTATGTGAAGTAACAGCATCAATTTTGTGATGTAACGCTTCTGGAAACTCCATTCACTTCATTTACGATCAATTTTATTGATGAATACACAGATGATGATATGGCGGAGATTTGTGCTAGTTGTTAGAGTCTAGTGGAATCTTGAGTGTGGGACAAAAAACTATAGAATGTAATTTCTTCATTTTCCAGCGATTAAACAGCAAGATTGATACTTATCTATTAGAAGGGAGTTGCAATGGGGCACCAACAGAAATATATAATGAATAGATTCCAAGCTTTACCCGAATATCTCATTCAAAAGGATATTTTCGGCTCAATTTAAGCCAATCATGAATTTTGAACCTTAGCAAGGTTGAAAAGTTCAAAAAGATAAAGCTTCTTCCTCTGGCTTCTTATGATGTCATCGTTCTGTTGAAGTTGTTCAGTGTCACATTGTTTTCATTCTACAATGAAGAGAAAAGTCCCATCAAATGGCTTACCTTGCCAGAATTAGCAGACCCGCAAGAAGCTGAGATATTTATTTGACCCGAGACTTCACTCTTGTTAGCATCAGACAGTAGTGAAATCAAGTCGAAAGTCTCATGGCGAAGAAAAATCTCCAGCATTTTGATTTCATACTCTACAGTCACGCAAACAAGATGAAGGATCAGAGGTATGAGTGAATCATGACTCCCACAGCGTAATTACATGTTGATTAGATCCCAGGTCTAGCTTGCACAATCGTTTGCGTATGTATGTATGTATGTTGTTCCGTATTTGTTACCTAATCTCGTGGCATGTTTGCATGAACACTATTCTTGAGTCACTTTATGCTCTTTGTCAGATATTACAACATGTTGCTCATAATTACAGGATGAGGTCGAGTATTTGAATTTATATCTGTCCCCCTCCTGCGGCCAATTCATTTTTTTCCGCCCGTTATCTCATTGCAGACTCTCAGGGGCGATCTTTTTTAGACATTGAGAAGTGTGTCAACTTCACTTTGATCAAACAATACCGTCTCTTCTCTTGCTGACTATCAACCGCAGCTACTCCCACATAAACACTCCCGAATAGTTGCAGGTGATAGTAAATATCAATTCCCTTCATCCTTCAATCTTTAGTGGTGCACCTAGTCCTGTGGCATAACCGGCTATTTTGGTTCTCTGGTTTCATTCATGCGAAGATATCCTGGTGCTAACTTAGAAGACTCATCACCTTGTTGCCATGCCTGAAAAGTCATTGTTCTTCCTCCCTCGCAGATCCAGATCTTATCTTTCATAATGAATATATACCAGTCATTGTTCTACGTATGACTCCTCCTCCTGTCTCGTATTCATCGAAGCAGTTCGGATCTCGCTTTAAATTTAGGGGGGACCCGCAACAGTCGAGTTAACTTCAAGACAAAAGGGGTTGAGTGATAATCCGAGGTCAGATACCTATTCTAAATTTCAAAGGTTGGCATGCTTTATGACATATATAAGATCTGCGGTAGAGCAAAAAGAGAAAGAAGTCGGGAGTTCTTCTAGATGGCGCTGCTCAACAACAAGCGGCTAATTTGATCAACGAATGTCTTGATAATTTCAGCATGGGTCGTAAGATGGAAAAATAGAGATAGGGAGTCTTACAATGCCATTAGTTCATGAGTCCCAGTCCAGCAGGCATAATCAAATCTCAAATAGCACACGTAGGGCGTATCGGCGTACTAGTCCGTGGCAGAATGGAATTATTTCGCTCCGTCACTTCATTTCAAGATTTGAAAAACTGGAATACCCAACAGTTAGATATTTACCGAATAGTCTAGAAGATAGTCGAGAAGTTGGTCATGTTCTTGAAGGGTGTTCAAGTTTGGTATTTGTCACGTGAAAGAAGTCGCGTCTGTATCAAAACATTTTAATGAATGTTGAAGATTGTTTATTCCAGAATCTGCTATTGAAAGCAATTAATTGATATCTTTGTCTAACGAATATTACAAAGCTGTTATTTCATAGCTAGAGATCCTATGAGAATTGAGATTGCAATGGAACGGTCACCTTTGAGTGGCTAGTTAATTATTAAAATGTGGGTATATATACAGCTCAAATCAATACACCTTCACTGTACTCCATCAGTAATGCGGGGAACAGGTACCAGACAGTCGTGTTTTGTCGCAAGGGTTTCACTATATCTAAACTGGACCGCTATAGGCTCGATCGGCGATGCTACGGGATCTTCATGGAATTCATCAAGGCGTTACCCAGTTACATTGATATCAGCCTTCAAACTCAAATGCAATACAACAAGCGAGGCTCAGCACTTACGGTACTTGATACCTCAAATTATTTTTTAAGGACTTGATCTTTCTACCGGAATATCCTCTTCTTCTTTTTCACTACGGAGAAGTTCTTAATACTTACAACATTTCTTCCTGAGAACCATAGAACTTCTATAACAACAGAGCCAGTACACCATCAGCTTTTTGGACCACTTTCTCTTGAGTAGAATTCGTACGTTATATTTCTGTCACATATACAGAAGCTTCATTTGAATTCAACATTTACATTAGTCATTTTAAACATCTACATATAATCTATCGCAATGGCTCCTCCTCGTGCTTCAGGAACCAAGGATGGCCAGGATAGGTCATTAAATAGAGAGGGCGCTAGCATTAGAAACAAGGATGCTAGCAGGGTAAACAAGCTCTCGGCGCAAGAGACAAGAGTATCAGGTCAAATGGTATGGTTTTCCAAAACGATTAAATGAAGTAAAAATACAATGTATTGAGGCTAATCCTCGCTTCCAGGTATCTGGACCAACAAACTCAAAGTCGAACACAACTGCAGCCCCACGTGCCAAGTCATCGAGACTTTCCAAAGGTCCTGCATCCGATGTGTCACAAGACGAGAGCGTCGAGGGTGAGTCTTCTACGCGAGCCTCAATTCCACGCGCTGCCACGCGACAGCCGATCCCACCCCCCGTCCACTCAAACGAAGGGGATCACGTCGAATCTCCTCACTTGCCCAGATTCACCGAAGATTCATCAGGAGCTCAACATTTTCGCATACAAGATTGGGACCTCAACGGCCCACACGACTTGATACCTACAGAGCAACGAGAACAACAAAATCATGGAGGTGATCGTGCCAGAACACTGAGGGAGGAAGAAAGCAGTAGTCGTCAGACCGCTACTCATCATCACCCAGCGCCAGTCGAAGGTACTCGCAGCATCATTCAAGATAGAAGGCAAGAGAAGGCGCACGTATCTACACAACCGAGACCAAATATTACCGGTCCACAACCACTATCCCCAGCCATTTTGGCTTCTCTGGCTGCTGAAAAAGCCAAATACAAAGAAGAGGAATTGGACGCCAAGCTCCAATACATAAAGAAGCACAGTGGTGGAGGTTGGGGCATTGAAGACTTCCAAGAAGTTGGTCTTCGTGGTGGACGTTCAGAAAAGGGGGCTGTAACCCCCACCAGCAGCCCAGTCGTGTCGTCTCCATCTATAACTGATTCTGAATCAACCATATCTGGTGATTCTCCCGTCGAGGCCACTGAACCCAGTATGGCCCCTGCTTCTAGGTCTGTTGAGGCTGCACATTCCTCTGCACCTTCCAGTTTGGTCTCTCCGTCTCCATCGAAGCATGTTGATGCACCTGTCGACTCCGGTGACTCAGCCATGACTGCTGCTGCCGAGTCAGTCACACCACCAAGTCCCCATTTACTCCCGATAGCAGGAAGCTTAGGAAATGGTAGAGGAAAGGTGAGTCTATGATCCAATAGTATATCAATCATGAAGACCTTACATGCTAATTAATTTTTCTTACAGGCCGTGGCTGTGGATCAAGATGAGAAGTCTGCTGAAGAGTCTTCCGAAGAGCCAGCTGAGGATCCTACCAGCGATGATGATATCACAGATCAATATCGGAATCCGACACACGCCAATGGCCAATCTAGTATGGCTTCGAGTAGTCATGGGCCTATCGAAAAAGAAGTCAAGAAGATGCCTCCCGGTCATGTTGCCATCGACGAAGGAACTCACAGTCGAGCCCAAATCCTGGCTGGAGCTCCGCAGCCAGAAGCTTTGACCATAATGCTTCGAACCGAAAAGCGCGACGAACACAATGTGGCAACTGCTCGAGCTTTAGTTACCCATAAATATACAAAGGAAATAAATTGGGCAGACGCAAGAGAAGTCAAGTGTCTCAACAAGTGGCGTAACCAGATCTTAATTCGAGCCTTCAAGTCAAAGCATGAACGAAGATGGAAGTACACTCTTAGTGAGATGAACACGTTGTGTCAATTCCTGGACATCCAGCTTGCTATTCCTACAGTAGATGGCTTAATGGCCAATGTTGATTGGGCATGGGTCACAACCAACTACAACAGCTTTTTCCAAGGACAGATACAACGCGCTGGCGAATTATACGCCAGCGCCTCCTACACAGGCGATGATGGCAGAAAGACATCTGCCGCCGGTCAACCAATGAAGTATGACCGTGATGCACCATTTAGATCTGAGATTGCTTTGAAGAATCAGATCTATCACTTCAGAGACAAACGAGCAGTCGACCTTGTCAGAAATTCGAGAGGTGCAAGATCATGGGATGAACCTCAGGAACCCGCTAGTGATGAACCACAGGAAGATACTGAGAATATTCCCTCAGTCTTGTCTAGTGAGAGGTCTTCCCCCAGTTCCAAGGGATCGCTCAAGAAGCTAATCTTTACGCTTGGGAATGGTAGCAAGGTGACACTCGAAAACAAGAAGAGGGCCAACACTGAGGACCCTACAGATGAAGAGATCTGCCCACCGAACAAGAAGACAAAGTTTAGTGGGCCTTCTCATCTACGTGGGGGTAGCGGTGGTATGTGGGAAGGCCCCGAGTCGGACTTCGACTACAGCGAGGATGCTGCACCACCAACTCACTATCAGGGTCATGAGTTGCGTTCCGATTCTCCCTTTCGACAAAGTTCCCCCTCTCGCACTGCACGAGGCTTTTCCAATGCTGAAAGTGTTTTGGGTCAAGGCAGAACAGAACATGGTGTCAATAACCGATCTATGGTCGCTCGGTCTACCTCTCTATCTGGAAGTGAGCAGAGCTCAAGGGAAATTGAGGAGAACTATGATGATGATAGTGATTATGAAGGCACATCATCCTCACATAAGGCCAATATGGAGCCACGCCTTCCTCAAGAGGCTCAATTTCCGCCTGCATATTCACAGGCTCGTCACCCACTTCCCGCTGTTCGAAATACAATCGTAGATGCACAAGATACTTGTCGTTGCCCCAGCCCTAGGCGTCCACGCAATATTGACGCACCACAGCGCCACCTTCTTCCCAATGGACCACTATTGCCGGCTCAATATGGTTCGCCACAGAGAGCCCCACCTTCAAACAGCAAGAAGAGAGCAAGGAATCATGGCGATGCTAATATGGGCAACAACAGCCAACAAGTCCCATCGAAGAGACCAAGATTGCAAGATCAAGATCAAGATGGGTATCGAGATCAACATCCAGTTCGATTTGACCCAGTGCAATTGGATACAGTTGCAGGAGGTCCGAACCAGATTTTCCTCTCTCCATTCCCACACAATTCGAGTGTGGCTAATAGGGAAGCTGCTCTTGGATTACGGCTAAGAGCTCCAGTGAGAGGCCCACAAGTAGTCACCAGGACACTCGGGCAAGCCGGACTTCGCCTTCCCACTCTGGATGATTATTTTTTCGAAGAATGATAATTTCTTGTCGAAGGAGGGAGGGCGTTCCACTTTCAAATTTTGTTGAGCATATCTGTTGGGCTGCCTTTTGAGGTGTTGTTTGTTAAAAGAGAGTTCTGACTGACATAATCTTGTTTCTGGTTATGGATTGGGTTTTGGGCTGATATCTTGAATTTTGAGAGTCAACATGGGATTTGGTACCAGTCTGGAAAGATCTGATGTTGACTATGGTATCGGTTGTTTGCGAGTTTTGGATATATATCCAACGTGGCGGCTCGCCACATTGGAAACTTTTCCATCTCGAGTTGAATTGTAAGTTGTGGTTAAGAAGGTGGTTAGGTCCTTCAAATACTGAGCTTCTTCCACCTCTCTGCTGGTGTCACTTGAGACCATTGGTACTTTAGCAGTGGGTGAAATGATTTTGTAGAATAATTCGGGACATGCCGTGTTGAGTACACAGGAAAGGCTTTGATTTGCGTTAGCAGTTTTGATTTAGGTGGAGTTGCTAGTGGTCCCGTAATGGATGGTCAGAAAATGGGTCGAGGAGTTCGGTATATGCTGACCAGCGTTGTGAAGGGCTACTTTTTTGAATTTTCGGTCTGTGGATTTTCTTTAGGGCAACCATAGAAACTAGTGTATAAGACAGTTTATAGCACGCTCAGATGAGACCTCGAGATGCGGAAGTGTAGAAATCTTCGGTATTGATCCCCGTTTGTCAAATTCTTAACCCATTTCAAAATATTCTAGGCAATCCTGTTGATTTTGTGAAAAAATGTTTTTCAAGCCCACAATCAGCAATCACTGGTGTTTCTTATGTTTTATCTGGATCAAGCGTACTTTTATAAGAAGTTGCAAGACTAGCATAGCTGTCTATTTTGAATATCAAATCCACATCCCCATATCACTAGAAAGGTAAATTGCTTGGTGTAGTTGCTGCTCATCGAATATTCACCCATTCAGGCTCTGTATTCTCTAGGCATATGAATTTATCTTTGAACCCTTGATAAATTCTCTCAGAACCTTTTCTAGCCTATCATTGAGTTGTTCTTCATGATGCAAAAGACTTTTCTTCACCAGAAACCTCACTCGGGAGACCACTCAAGTAATGCCTCTCCCCCTCGCTATTGCGTATGTGTCCTTCCATCTGAATTGTCCAGCGGTGCAGAGTGAAAGTTTCTTAAATGGGGAAAACAATGTTCGAGACCATCTGTAGGTCAGACTCCCCTTAGTTGCAAGTCACAGCTATTGCTAATACTGAAAGCAGAACTTTTCATCCACGCGCTCGAGACTCCTCGTATTTTAAATGGATGAGCCTAGCGAGACAGCCACGCATCCACAATACTCATAAGATTATCTCTCTAGGTATCATCAACTTCAAGATTGATGTGAGAAGGCTTAGGAATTAGTCCACAAACAGAATACAAAGAAGACAGAATACGCTTTAACTGATTATACACAAAAACATAAGGTCTGCAAATTGTTACGATCCGTCGAATAGGCAAATGAAAGGTCTATGATATCAAGATGAGATTATGTTCTCTCTCGTAGCGAAGACTTCTTCCTAGCAGATTGAAATACTCAGGGGCTGTTTCTCGCCTCACGCGTCAATGAAAGCATGCCTTCCTTGTTGCATCCTTTGCTTCAAATATGTAATACAATTGATTGTTTTCAGTAGCTGTTCCTTTGTGCGTCCTGATAGTTGAAAGGAGAACAAAGGAAGCTTGGCAGATCACAGTCATGAAGCCGAACCCTCGGACTATGGATAATTCCGCCCTCCGCAATTAGTAGTTCGTCTGAACTTAAGCCATCTCCACAATCATCACATAGCTGACGACATACAACTGTCTCATTGATACAATTGATGGTATATCTTCTTAACATTATCTCAATATAATCATTAATCCAACGCAGCTTCAATCTTTGAACGTGAACTGCTGCTTTCAATTCGACAGGGTTAGCACGGACCAATAAAACGATAAGAACCTTAAGCATCATCTAGAATCAAACAACACACGACCGAGAAATCCGGTGGTAAGAGTAATACAAACTTCACGAGAACCTCAGAATAGAATGGAAAGACGACTTGTATGACCTGCAAGCTCCACTTCAGTGTGATACTGAATGTCTCATAGTAGATCACAACATAATGTCCGCCGAGTTCTCATCTTCCAATCCTTTCAGAAGAAAAGGACCCTTCGCATCTTCGACTACATCATCCTCCTCAATACCTGCTGTCAATCATTTCACGCAATTGGATCCATCTGCGAATCCGATTCCCGAATATTCATATCCAAAACGACAAGATGTGGCAAAGAAAACACCTAAAAGAGTTCGGGTCCAGTCTCCACCACCCCCATCTCCTTCGATCCCCGACTCTACATCTACTATAGGGGACGATTCGGTACCTTTCGAAAACCCACTACAAATATCTCAGGAGGACGAGCAGGACCCTTTTGAAACTACCACATCTGATGTTTCAGAGGATGAGGAAGAGAATCCAACCTCGAAGACTCGCATCCTGAATCCCTTTTCAAAGACATTGGAGACGTTGGAGAATTCAGGTCGAGATGCATCAAGCGCAGCACCTGCAAAACTCACAAATCCCGGAAGAGCTTCTATGGATGTGGATGCATTCAAAAGGCTATTGATGACCGGAAATGCGGGGTTGGGATCTTCTACCCCGCTGCAACCCCCTCCTGTTCATGCATTACGCGACGAGGGAAGTAGTAGTACAGAAACATCTTCTCTATCACGGCAATCGATATTCGAACCAATACAAGATCCGCATCCAGAATCACCAAGATCATCACACGAAATATCAGAGCCGGATGAAGTACGAAGGGCAGTGTCTGACTCTTCATCATTACATGTGAAGAAGAGACCACCTCCACCGAGTTCGAGGCATCATGGTAAATTGATTAGGATGGAATTGAAGGATGAGACTACAGCCGTTTCTCCCTTATCTCCACCACAGTCAATGTCTGCAACCCCTCAATACTTTCCTGTTATGACTTCAACGCCGAATCGCTCCTTGACAGATCTCAACAAACCCTTACCTCCAGCTCCACCTCGTGAAAGCGGTGAATCCGAACGAGAATCTCCATTTGATAGAGAGTCTGCGGGAAAAGCACCAGAACCACCATCCCCGTCTTCATCATTAAGAAGAAAGGCAGCTCCTCCACCACCTGTTACCCGAAGACACAGCCAGCTCCTTAGCGACTCAAAACTGAGTCGAAGTAGTTCCGCAAGACTCTCACCAAGATTGGAAGAAGACAATACATCGGTATACTCAATCGAATCTGGACGCCCTCGATCTAACAGTGGGAAAGCTCCACCCCCACCTCCCACACGAAAACATGGTATGTCTCGATCCCAATCGCAGCACGCACCTTCCTCGCCATCTGCGACGTCCTTACCTGTACCGCCACCAACACGAGGCTCCTCAAAACACGGTAGAGCACCATCTGTACACAGCATTGATGCTCCAAGTCCTCATATGTCCAAACGCACCTCTTTACAAGGACCGCCACCACCACCACGTCCTCGTCAAGCACGGAACAGTCTTGATGTATCTCAAATCACACCTTCCTCTTCAACTCGTGTCAGTGGCGAATATCGGCGAAGTTCTAATGCTTCCTCCATGTCACAAACTTCACGATACGAAGAAAATAATACCGACAACTCTACTAGTGGTCATACCAACATCTTGGCAGACCTCAGTGCATTACAACAAGAGATCGATGCGTTAAGGAATCAGTCACAACAACGGCAGCGAAGTGTCACTTGAAAGATATGCCTTGGGTAAAATGATTGTCCTGCTGAGGTTTAGGCAGGCAACCTTGCGTCACCAATATCTGTTTTTGAATCTCCTACTCATTACACATTATAATCTACGTTGGCACATGGAAGGAGCATCAGAGCCCTATAATTGCGAGTGCGGTTGCAGCGTCTTTGGGCAAATATTTGGAATCCGAATGGTTACATATCGAAACAAAAGAAACTCGGAATTCCTTGGAACTTGCAACAACCATTCCATGTTTTTCAACTCTAGTTTTAGAGCGGTATGGGAGATTTAAAGTTGAGCATGATGGATGAATACTGTACACTCGGACTTCTTGGCTCAAGGTTGGGTTTCTGAGTCTGGACTTTCGACCTTTTAGGATCATGGCATTTCATTTCTCCATTCTTGGAGCTATCGAAATAAAATAATGAGGCGATGGGTACGATACGAGCGGCGAGAACTCGAAGGATCTAGGTTGTAGGCACAGTTACTACTTGCAGCAGTCGAGAAATGCAGAGTGAATTATTGATGGTTATTGGAGATTGATATTTGGAGTGAAAGGGATTGCTCGAAGGATAGTCCATGTTCTAACTACTCTTCCACGAAGCTATCTAAAGCATCGAGAGGATATCGTGAAGCGAGCAAGAAGCACAGAACCTCGAATAACCCTGAAAAAAGCTGAGAAGGTTTCTTGATTGATCGGATCGACCGTGTGACGGGCGGGAATTTATTGTTTCGTGCAGTCGGTGGAGTTGGGTGGAGGTTGGTAAAGTGGATTGGGACTGGATCGTGCGAAGTGCATTGATGGGATATCGTAAGTTTGGAGCTACGGAGTGACTAATGGGGCGGGAGAGGGGCGGTGAGTGAGGGGTACGGTGTTTCTTCGGGTATTGTTTTGAAGGCTGGTTGAAGGATTGAGAGTCCTGGGATGGTGCTTGGAGACTTTTCAGGCTGAGAAAAGATGGGTGGAGTTGACAAGATACTGGAACTAAAAGTACATGCATGTGTACCTACCTACTTTGTGCAATGGCGATCTTTGTTGGGACTTTGGGGGGTATTCAAGATGCTTCGATTAGAAGGATCATGCTGGACAAAGTGCAGCTCGAATAAATGGAAAAAAGAGGAGTTGTATACTCCACTTTGCACATATGGGAAACTGGATAATGAGAAAAAATTATTGTATATTCTAGTGTGCTAAGTATATCATGGATTAATATTGAATATTTCAAGAAATTATTACCATCTTCTAGTGCGGATCTTTCTAGAGTGGGTTTCTAAGACCTCGGATACTGCTGATCTCGGAAGTTGGTCACAGATCATTCTCTGGTTTGGGACTCTGGGAGAGGGGGGTTGGAGGGGAGGGATTCGGTGATCAGCAGATTTTGAAGGTGGAAACTAGGAAGCTTTGATTGGAGTGTGCTGATTTTTGCAGCATCGCGATTTTGGTTGGATACGGAGTCTCGTTCGAGAATCGGGAGATAGGTGAAAAAAGGAAAAGGACAGTTCATCATAGATTTTGCGGGTGTTATTGGTTGAGATGGGGGATACTCAGCCTCAATTTCTGAGGGGGGAACTTTACGAATACGTATGTTTGTAGTTCGTATGGGTTTTTGGTGGGCTGAGTTGGATGGGGATGGAGATAGAGATGGTGTTAGAGGTGGGTTTAGATTTAGATTTCGATTTCTCAGCTCACCTTTGTTTACTAGGTAGATAGGTGGGTAGGTATGTATTGTTATTTCGTAGCGTCATTGTGTCTCATTTTTGGAGTTTTATTATTTGGTTCAGTTGTAGACGGAAGCTTCGGAAGTCTTCAGTGCATAGATGGAGAGGCTGTGATGAAATGGGTTTACAATGTCGTAAGTTTTTGGGAGGAGAAAGGAGAAAGGTCATGTGCATTGCATTTACATTTACATTTGCATTTACATTTGCATTTGTACTGACTTGCATTTGTTTAGTACAAGTGGAGAATGGAATGAATGGAATTTCGCACTTGGCAAATTCTAGCACGGTGAGTATCTGGGAACTTGAGATTGGAGACTTGGGACTTGGATATTGAAGGGGAGAATGCTTGATAGGTAGGTTGGGCCGTGTAGCCTGAGAGATTGGGAGTTGAGAGACTGGTGTGTGCTGGTGGTTGTTTTTATCGAGAGAGCTAGGTTGAGCGCGAGAGTATAGTGTAGTTCCTTGAGAAGAAAAGCTTGGAATTCAATGCGTTGCATGTAGGGAGATGCGAGATGAAAATTGGGAATGGGCTAGTGGTTAGTGATTAGTGATTTGTGGTATTGTATCTTGATTCTCGGTCTTTTCTCTTCTTCTATTCATTTTTTCTATTTGGCATGATGGAGCTAGTATCTATCTATCTTTCAAAGGACAGGTTCACATCTCTAGAAAAACGCGTATTGTGTAAGAGGCGGGAATTGAGTTTTCCTCTCATAAGGATATTGGAATTTGGCACTTACACGCATGATGTTCTAGTGGAAAAAGTGGGGGAATTGATGTGACGAGGTGGGTTTGTCTGGGGATCAGGGTTGAGGCTAGTGTCTTGACTTCTGTCACTTGGGATTTGAGTTTACATCTTAGCTTCAGCTTTATTTCTAGCTTTGTATCTAGGATTCGGGGGTTTCTTCAAGTAATCATGTTGGAGTTAGTCTCGTGCGTCGACATATGGTTTTCCCGATGGTATCCGCATTCTTGGGAGACGATGAAATCTTGTTTATCTTAGTGGGAGGATGAAAGAGAGGGAAAGACAGGTTAGTGCACGAGCAATTAATTAATTATTGGCGGGAGCGGGAGTCTGAGGGTTTTTGAGACGGGAGCCTGAGCGGATTTCTTTGGTGTAGGGTTTGGTGTCTTTGCAAGTAAGTGACTAGGACGGAAATAGATCTGCTAGTGGGATAGGTATGATGATGTATTGTGCTAATTTTATTTCTATGCTTTAGAGTTCTCAATGCTCGATGTGGATGGAATATGCATCTCACGATCTACCCATGATTCATGGTTCTGTTCATTTTTTTTATCACTAATATAAAGTTATATTGAATCGATATCTACATGGGTACATCTATCCGATCGAGAAGTCTCTAAGGCGTATAGAGATGCAGAATGTGGAGTGCCGAGTACCGGATTACCAGAGCGGGATTGGCGGCGGGGTTTGTCGATCTGGGTGTGCAGCTGAGTGTTGGAATTAGGTTAGTGGGAGTGGGTTATTTTCGCTTTGAGGTTTGTTTGGTGCTTGATTGGGAGGTAGAAATGGGAGTATGGATGGATGGGGGTTAGATTTCTTGATGGTAATTTTTTTCGGACTGCTCGGCATTGGAAGGTGGTATTCTTCATGGGATGTTGGAGGGAGAGTTGGTCACGGATGAGAAGTTGGAGAGTCATAGTGAGACAATACTCATGATGGTGGATACCCTCATAACCTGTTTACGTGTGCATTTTTGGAGTATTTGGAATATACGTGCTCGATACGATAGAGGAAACATCACGAGATTCTTAACACTCACTAAAACCGGAACGTCCTCGCCACTTTGAACCGATCTGAAACCCAAAGTTCCGGGCGTGGACTCATGGCATACGCATACATGCACGATAATGCATAGCCAAATGTGTGAGATTTCGTTTAGGGTTCTGGATCATTGTTGGATGGTGCTTTTGGGAAAATGTAGGAGATGTGTGTTTAGGGCTGAGGGCTTTTTTTAGTTTATATCTGGGTGTGGAAATGTGGATGGGAAGGATGGGAATTGGATGGAGTGATGGGTTGGGAAAGGACTAGATGGGTCTGTGATGTCTGGTTTTTTGATCTCTCATATTCTGTGTGACGTGAGAAAGTTGGTTGGTTGGCTGAGGTGTATTTGAGATATGTTTGCTATACAAGAGGCGTGTTGTGTGGATTTGAGCCTCTGTGAGATGTAGGTGAGAATTAGGGCTGGGTTAAGATTGTTATAGGGGAGGTATTGTGGTGAAGTGGTGGGGTGGTGGTGTGGTAATCTAGATGGGTTGGATTTTTGATTATGATGTCTTGGATGTCTACTTGGCTGGTGCATTGTAAACCATTGGGTGGACGAAACGGGAAAAGATGACATGAGAAAGGGAATATTAGAATAGAGCATGAACGGAGGGTAAAGGTGGTATTGGTAGGCGTTTACAGCATGTGAGTAATTTACCTTCCGATCGATTTGCATGAGCGATGCCGAGTCCGAAGCGAATGATGAGTCGATTGGCAAGGGGGAGCGAAACGGCGAGGATGTTGGATTGGGTGGTGAGTAAGCTTATGGGTGAAGGGAGGGAAGAAATGGATGGAGGGAAAGTAAACCGAGATAAGTTGGAATATGATGATGCCTTGATCAATAGACAAATTTATCCGTATATTTGAATTCCTGACATCCCGTCTGTGTACGATGTTTTCGTATACGATATTCATTATGTAGGGAGTGTCAATCGGGACGAGATATCTCTCCGCCTCCGCCGCTGTCTTTCCTTGTGTAAGCACGATTACGAAGCCATACTATGCTGTGATACCAAATAGTATGTGTGTGTTTATGTGAGTGTGTGTGAAACGAACACGAAAGGTTCTAGAGCCAGTATCGAAAACAAAAGACTTTGGGTGTATGCTGATCGCAGCATATGATGCAGTAAAATTCTCCAGTCTACAGTCTATGCAATGCACCGGACAATTCCACCCATACCTTCGCATTATTGATTCCTGAAGCATCCATCCATCCATCCATTCATCTATCCCGTATAGGATATTGAAAGATAGACTTTCATCGCCGCAGCTGAAGCCCCGAATTTAAATCCCGAACGACCTCTCAAAATCCCCACACCCCTCACATACGTCCAATATGCACCACCCATCCAGTCTCACGCTCCAGCATCCGTATGCCGTTTCACCAAAACGGTCGTGGTGCATGCAGGCGAAATCGCGCTGGTGCTACATCGGGATGCACGGGTGCGCCGCCACGCATGCCGCGACCGAAGGGGTGAGATTCTGGGGTGAAGAATTGGGGGCCGGATTCGTTGGAGATACGAAGGGGAGTGAGCTATTCTTGCGTTTTTGGGATGTGGTGGATTGCACGCACTTCTTCTTGCGATATTGGAGTCGGGATGCTGAGACATGTGGTGGGCTAATGATGTTACCTATTTACTTATCTACTACGTATGGGTTGAGGGACTGGGTTGTTCGTCACGATTTTGTGGCTTGGTTTTAGAGTTTCATTTTTGCTGGGGTGGAGTGGAGGGTTTGATGATGATGATGATGATGTTGATGTTGATGGATGATGTGATGGGATGGATGGGATGGAATGGGATGATGGAATAATATTATATGATTAGTTAGTTACCTATATGTTTGAAGGATTTCTCAAAGAGGTATATTAATCATCGGGATATAGCATCGTTAGCTAGGTAGCATACTGAATCAGAAAGGTGATACATCACATTTCCCATACATTCCACCGATCCTATCGTAAATTCGGGGAATTCCTTTCCTTAAACCTACTTTTCTCATCCGATAAACTTTTGTGCATTGACATCTCCTCGCGATCATCCAAATGGGCATGTTTTAGTTTCATCTTATGAAATCCCTTCTCGCCAATGATTATCCGTAAGAGAGGGTTTGAGCATTGCCATGCTAGTGACTCGTGGATAGCGTGCATAATGGTAATGGTATGTGTAGTGATCCCGTGGCCATGTGTTACGGTGATAGGGATGCAGTTCTTGGTCTTAGTGATTGGGGTGATATTGATTGCCAAGATGTTCGCGTGGTGGGTGGTTGGTGTTGACTGATTGATGAATGAGGATGTGAGTAAGTGTTGATTTTGGGGTTCACTTGAAGATTATTGATCAAGGGATGGGGAAAATGTCACGGATTAGTTTATTGCTTAGCTTGTTTTTCTATATTATGTGTGCAACTATTGCATTTATTGCATTGATCTGAAGGGTACTACTTCTAATGCTTCTTCAAGAGGTTAGATGGATTAACCGATATCCCTACTACGTGCACGACCCTACTATGTGCACACTTTTTTTATATCAAAACAAAAATCAATTTAAAATTTAAAAATCATTATAATAATATAAAATTTAATTCGATAATTAATTAATATTATTAATTTGGATTTATAAGGATTTCGAATTATTAAATAAAGAATTGATTGAATAATCAAATAAAGAGAATATAAAATCTTGATATATAATTTCTCAATAAATAATATATTAGAATCTATTTATAGAATTATAATAAGTTTTTATAGATTTTTTGATATCAATAATATTATAAAAAAAATCAAAAAAATCAAAAAAGTAAAAAGAATTAAATTTAATATAGATTATTAGATTTTTTTAATTATTTATAATATTTTTAGAAAAGTTAAAAATATTTTTTAAAATGAATTTAAATTTTATATTTAATATTAAAGATTTAAAAAATAAGTTTTTAAAAAAGGAATTATATTAAATATTAAAAGATATAAGTTTTGATTAATAAAAGAAAATTATTTGAAAAATATCTTTTATTTTTGAAATTTTATTTTTAAAATTATTTAAATCTTAATTCTATTATATATAATAAGATTCTAATTATATAAAAAATTCTTTTAAAATAAAATTCTTTAAAAAAGAAGTTTTCTTTAATTCAAAATATTATTAATTCATTTTTAAAAAAATTATTTTAAATAAAAATTGATTTAATATTAATTAATAATTTAATTTTCAAAATTTAAATTTTTTATTAAATCAAAATCTAATTAATATAGTTTCATTCTTTAATAATTGATTAAAAACCATATAACAAAAAAGTTTAAAATTGAAATTTCTTAAAAAAATTAATAAATACTTATATTATATTTATTATTAAATTAAATCAAATTCTTAATAAGTTTTTTATAAATCTTTATTTAAATATAATATTAATAAATTATAGATTTTAATATATTTATATTTTTTTAAAAGATTATTGTTATTATATAACTTAAAAATAGAATAAAATATCATAAATTCATTATTCTATTAATAATCAATTATTAAAATATTTTCTATAAAATATATTAGAATTTAATATTAATATAATTTCAAATTTTCGATAAAAAACTTTAGTTTTTTCAAATATCTTATATTATGATATATGGAATTTCATAATTTCATTAAAAAAAACTTATATTTTTAATTATATTATAAAATATATTAATAAATAAATAATTTTTTTTATAAAAGTTGATATCTTATTTATTATTATTATTATTTATTATAATTTTTTGAGATTTTTATTTTTTTATTTCAAAATATTATATAAGTTTATTTCAATTATCTCATTTTGAATTTCAAATTATAATATCGCTTTTTCAATTTTTAATTCAATTTTCTATATAAATAATAAAAGCGTGCACATAGTAGGGTCGTGCACGTAGCAGGGATATCGGTTAATATTCTAGAGCTTCAATTCAGATTACCCATGTATTCTATTCTTCATGTGATAGTTATATCATCCGTTACAATCTCTCTGCCCTGTCACCAACTTTAAGAATAACATGACATTCTTGCCTCATGAATTCAACCTCTCCTGAGATATACACCCATACAATGCGGGGTTGTGGCGTGGACACGGGTAGACACATTTCAGCCCTCCACTTTACTGTATTGCCCAGCTCCTTATTTTCTGCGTCTATATTACAATTTCATTGCATGTACCAATAAGCATTTCATAGCTCAAAGACTTACAGTGACAACGCAGCAGCATAAGGCAATTTCCAGCTCACCACTAGTTTCCCATCGTACATGCCCCCCTCCCCAAATCCCACTCTCCTTGTCTCGAAACCGACCTCCTCTCATCGGCGTCGGAAGTTAAGACCGAATTAGCGAAGGCGATCCCCCATTCCTGCTGGTCTCACCCCCATACTACGTACAGTTAATGGATTTCATCATACGAAACAAAGTACTGATACAACAATACAGTCAGCACTTGTAGACAAACGAACCATGGAAGCTCATGGAATTACAGGCCACGACTAATTGGAATCCCCAGAAAGCCAGGATAAACAGGAAACCGACGAACCAGTCTCGTACAACACGAGATCTGCTTCCTAGTGAAGGGCGCCATGCAGATGTCAATGTGAATATTGACGCGAACGAATTCGTTCCAGGCTGCTTGTGAGAAAAGGAGTTAGTGAGATAGTCAGATAGATCGGCTGTATGCAATCTGTGAACCAAAAGGGTGAGTCCTGCATCTCTCGCCCAGTAAATGAATGCCATGCCTCTAAGAAATCCTCAACCATTCACAATCACGATGCAACCACTACTCCTGCATAAAGCATCAGCATGTAGAAAACAACCCGAAATCACACATACACGGCGAACGGCCCTACCACATCCCGTTCAGTCTATCCATCCCTTCATCCTATCCATCCATCCCAAGCTTTTCGTACCACCAGTCATCTCACCCTAGAGCTGAACCCGATCCCATGGAACCGAAGGTAAATGCATGGCAACGGGATAGAAGCTGACGAACGAACTTCTGTAAGATTATTTCTCAGCTGCACGGGCCGAGATTGATATTGGTCGGTCCGGATTGGGGATGTAAGATTCGGGTTGGAGGGTGCGGAGGGAAGGATTGTTAATGAGGTGCTGACATTTGAATAGGGATGAAGGGTAGGTAGGATGTTGTGGAGGGTAGGATTGGGGATTCTAACGGTGGGCTTATGAACAGGAGGACATGGGTGTGTGAGAGGAGGATATAATGAGGATAATCAATACGAAATTGTGATAATGATAATGATGATATTGATATTGACGATTTTCAATGACCCCCTTATTCTCCCGTGTATTCAAACCTTTTCAACTATCACTAGGTACGTAGTACGTACCATTTCCGTTGTATGATCCATCCATCTTGCCTCGTTCTAGAATAAGCTGAAAATCAATAAGCGTCAGTAAGCAGGAAATATGAGTATCTATCCATTGATATCCATTCATCTAACCCATCCAACAATTACCCGAACTTTTCCCATTCTATTTTCTTCAATCGATCAGTAATCAATCACTCCCTCCCTCAATCCATCAATCCCACCAGCCGTCAATGAACCTGTGGTCCATCAATTCCAACTAGTCAATTCCTATCTATCTTCCCGTGATCATCCCCATTCTTTCCTTATCAGCCATCATCTCCATGCAAAAAAGCCAATGGCTACACAAAAAGTCACAGTATCGCTACTCCACCTCCTTTCCTCAATTTCGCATCGATAGTGGGTATCCACCAATCAGTTGAGATTAAAGTTCTCCTTGTTTCATCTCATTGGCGCTATATTGAACTATCGAGACGAATGTCACGGATGTACACGTACGTACCTGCTTGTTATCTCCCCGGCTGCCCAAGTATAAGACCAAAATTTCTACATTGGGGACTTTATATCCGAATTCTCGTAACCTAACTTGCGATGCATCCAGCATGCTGAAGAATGGGGGCATGATTCAGCATCGCATCATCATCGTTCTCCATCCCAATCCCAATTCGAATAGGTCATTGGATCCATCGTACCTATCCCTCCCCATTCTACCCGCTCACAAGCTACCCAAAGCCGAATTAGTTCCAAAAGCTAGAGCCAGCCGTTTGTTTCTTGTGCTCATCAAATGATGAATCCCGTCAAGGGATCAAGCCCCATACATCATTCCACTTACAGGATGCGAGGAATGGCATCAATGCTGCGGAAGGTCTGTGCAAAACATTGGAACCTAACTCAGTAAGTGAGTGACATATCATCACATCTCATATCAGACCATATCAAGAAACCCAACAAAATATATCTTCAATTAAAAATCATTTCTTGGGAACACGGAGGCGTAAGCTTACCTCGCTAGACAATCTCCCACCGGACCCAAGAATGCAAAAATCCATGCGCATTCCATCCCAAAAGTTTGGTTCAGTGCTTACAGTGGAGCGGCTTAGGTGTGCTGACAATTTGTCAGCAATTGTCTTGTAAGTCTTGTACACCAGGTACTCGTAAGGTGTTTGATAGGCGGAGGTATCTTCGTTCACCGTGATGTTTGACGATGATGAAAACTTCCGCCAAGACGGCGTTGAAGTCTCCGAGTCGCGAGATGATCGGGTACACATGATACGATATATTACTGCATCCGATATATGACTCTGTCCGAAAGCGATTCCAGCCCTGAAGCAGCCCCGGTGTCCCTCGTGTAAACATGGATTGGGGCACTTTTGTCGACCGGGTACGATTACATCTGGGCGCGAAACCAGCGGCGGTAGGTTGTGTCACATTGGAACAAACGCTGCATGGTGACTTCTATCTTGACATAATGAGAGGGGCCTTAACGTCCATCTTGACATAAAGAATAATGGACATGAGACCGTCTGGCACAAGGAAGACCCCGTAAGTGAAGAAACCCTGGGGATCTCGTAGACTGCAGGGCTCTACGAAACAGAGCCTTGAGAATAAACTATCTTACTTTTTTTTTCGCATTCTATACGATATCATCATAATGCATGCTCACAACCCTGAAACCCTCCGGTACCTGAAGTCTACTCATCTAGGTAGGTCTCGCAGTGGCATGATATTCACCAGTATGGATTGACATTGAGTTTCCTCGAACTTTGTTTCTGGAATTCAGCGGAATTCTCCGTTCATCCGGAAGAGGTCCATGCGATACGAGATGGGAATGTTGGATTTGCGGATGTGGAAGTTCGATGGAATTCGAGAGCTGAAATTTTGGGGTTTTGAGTTTGTGGTGCTGAGAAAGTACCTAGAATGTTGATTTTTGAGTTTGCAGTGATGGGTTTGCAGGGGTTGTGGACAGGGTGTCTGGAAGGGGTGTGGTGTTTTGTAGAAGTACAGAGTAGCTATTTTGGACTGTACGACGTAGAGAGGAATAGATGAGGTGATGAGGTGATGAGTTGGATGAGAAAATGTGAGAGCTATTGATTAATTGTCATGTGAAATATGGTGATAAGAATAGGAATCCAATTTCTGTAATCATCCATGGTAAAATGCATCACCAGTTATTTATAACCCAACATACGATACCCACATAATACGAACACATCTCCATATCCAACCCTACGCATCAACAAATCAAACCCCATCACCCCTCCCGAAATCGAATCAGATGAACAAGTAATCCAATCCTTCAGGTACGTACCTACGAGCGTATCTCTCACAGCCCCAGCATACATACCCATCCATCAAAGTTATCAAACCTTAAAAACGACCACATGTTACACAAACTCATAACATCTGCCGATCCCAGTCACCGATCCTCACCTACCGGTACCCTAACCCAAGGCAACTCTATTTCCCTCTTTGCGTCTCTCCAAAGTCTAATCTTCACTTTAACTTTGTCTCCTTGTACAGTGTATTTCCTTCTTTAGTACCTACATACACGCACACACATATATACATATCTGCTCACACAACCATGTACCCAACGCCGAGCATCTGCGGGCACGCACGCACGCACGCACGCACGCAAATCAGCAGACCCCTTCCCACCCGTTGAAACTGTTTATCGTTCCCTGATTCCCCTACTCTCCTCCCGGTGCTTCCGGGGTTCCGTATCTGAGATGTGCACATCTGGGTTTGTAGGCGCGGGTGGTTATTACTATTTAGGGAGGTCGATAGGTAGCTTGTATGTATATTTGGTTGTGGGTGGTACCTATTGTGTATTTTAAGGGGGTTCGGTAGTGATGGAATAAAGTTTACTGGTTTGCCGGTTTACTGATTTGCTGATCTCCTAGTTGGTTGGTTGGGTATGAGATGGGCTGGGGGTTGCAAAGTTTAAGTTGAGGATGGAGATGCAGACGGAGGTGGAAAGTTTATTGTTGATAGTTGCTGATTACTTGATGGTTACAAATGCATATACAGCTCAGCCTCCTGTCTTCTTGTGTCGTCTTATCTCGTTTCGTCTCGTTGCGAAGCGTGGCGGGTATGGGTATGTAGGTGTATTGAAATGAGTCTCTGGGGAGTCGATTGATGGTTGATGGATAAAGTTTGTGGGATACGGAGAGCGTGGTGTGATTGGATGTTTGTGGTAAGGAGGAGGATGAGATGGAGATGAATGGATTTAGAGTTGGGGAGCGGAGGGGAGGAGCACATGGAGATTGCGTGGTTGAACTCGTGGGGTCTAGATTTTAGATTTTGGATGGGTTAGGTGAGAAGGTGAAGGTTGAGGAGAGATGGGGTGGAAGAGATGGGTTGGTGAAGAGGGATGAATGGTTGCATATTGGGTATTAGATATTGGGAATTCGCACTTTGGATACTATCACTGGATTACAGAGAGATAGAGAGATACATTCAGACCGACGAGCCTGAAATCAATCACAGTGAAGAATACTTCATCTATCCATCCATCTATCTCTCGCACATATCGTAATTAGCACATCCCAAATACAAGCAAGCCTCGACGCATCCATCCCTCCTTCAAAACACGGCAGTCAAACTTTGCGGTAGATACCCTCTTTACTATTTTAACTTCAAAGACATGCCTTCCATTTCTTCTATATTGGCCCTGGGGCAAATGATATGCTGGTGATCAGATACGCCGGATTCTGGAGACGAAAGTTAAATTGTTCGATGTCTATCCTCTATCTACGGTATGGTACGTACGTAGGCATGGCCGTGACAGCACGGAGTGGCATTGCTTGGCTTTCATGGCTGCGGGTAAGGATTTGAGCTTGGGGGCTCGGTCTCTTCGATGTCCGATTTTTCCGTCATGGAGGGCTGTGATGGGATGGATGAGGTTTGTCTAGGGAATGTTTATTCGTGGAGGGATCATGGCTGGAGGAACAGATGATCTGTTCTTTGGTGTGGGGTAGAGAAGGGGATGGATGGAGGAATGTTGTGGTGTGAGGGAGGGTGAAGATTAGAGTTTGGGTTTTGATGGTAGGTAGGTATTGTAGGCCAATGTTTATTATATTATTTGGTGGGTTTATTTTTTGTAAATTATAATTATGATTTCATTTTGGAATATGAATTATAGGAAGAAGGATTTAAGCAGTATTATATTGTTGTATCTTTGTATGGGAAAAGTAAGCATCGTGAATTACTAAATCGGGTTGAGAGTAAGTTAGATAGATAATATGAGTCAAGAACTTCAATAGATGAATCAATTGCTGACTCTGACTCGGATAATGTTCCCTCGAAGAAGTAAATTATATCACATGATAAAGTGTTGGCGATAGTTGTTACACAAAGGTTACACAAAACTAATGACTCGAAAATTAACAATCTGACAATTTGACATCAATCATTCTGCACAGTGTAGTCATCATTGTACGACTAAAGTGCGACTCAAAAGGATTGGTCATTTAAACGGATGGGCAGGGTGAAGCTTTGATTTGAATCCCATTTGATCCATCCATCATGATATTAACATTATATCCGATTTAGTTTCCGCTGTCTATTTTCGATCTCCAGAATCAAGATGTGGACGTTGATGTTGGTGTTGGTGCGCTCGCGGAAAGGCCTCATTAAAGATTGAGGGCCGCTCCGTGGTGTCCGTGGTAGACTGGACTGGCTCGAAACTGGTACTTGGTAGCAGATACATCTAGAATCTACCTAGATGGAGACGGTCCGATGCGAAGCTCTCGCTCAGACAAGGCATTTAGGAGCTAAAGTATCTAGGGAGGACCTAGGTAGGGGAGAGAGGGAGCTTGGATCATAACCTCGGCACTTTATCATTCGATTCCTGGTTATACTCATTCATCGAATCTACGACTCCTATCATACGCGTACCCGTCTCATCTCCAGAGAAATTGAAGGGGTTGAGTCTGTAAGTAATCGGTATCATGATAATCGTCCTCGTCCAGTTGTAGATAAGTATGTACCGAAATATATATAGAATACATGAAAGAATGTCTAGGATCGTCGCGAAAATGGAAGATGCCGAAATGTCCATGTCGTAGACTAGACCGATTGATATTAACATGACTGGTTTGTTGATCTCCCTCTCCATAATAAAAAGCATCAACATTCGCGACAGCATCCTGAACAGGAACCTGTCATTTTGGTGCTACGACATATGGGGTAAGGGTTATTGAAGAATTTCGACTGGGATTACTTGAATTTCTACCGGACTTCTCTGGACACAGTAGTTTTGTGACATCTTCCGTGCCCCTAGATGGTTGGTTCACTGTCCTGTGGATTCGTTGTGGAAAAGGGTCGAAGGGTCGAGAGAGGGGTTAATAGAGATGATTTACTTCATTGGTATTGAGTTGCCTGCCTAGTACTCACAATGATTTCCTGATAATGTTACCTTGAGAGTCTCATTCGTCAATTTGATCCGAATTCATTTATAAAGTGTACATATGTACATAGCATCTACCATCCCGTATCGAGGACATCTAAATCGAATCGTCATCTAGTGACATCTACACCACCCTTACCTCTGTATCTCCCAACATGAATCAAACGTGCAATTCCCCTTCAACATGATTCAAACGTTGAATCTCAATCTCCAAGTTGAGTACAGACCATAACGGGGGAGGGGAAGGGGAAGAGAGAGATGTACACACGTATGGACGGGTGAAGAAAATAAAAATAAAAAAGTACTATCCCCCAATTTTGATAGCGAAAGGGCCGACGACGATCAATATTTCCACTTCTGCAAGTATTCCCAGTAGCGTATGGACTATGTATGTATGTATGCGCAATGGATATGTATCTAGTTAAGTGTACTTTATTTTGTATTTTGTCCGTCCGAGGATCCAAAAAAGGTCACGATGATGAAATGTCTTTGATGCCGACGATGTTGGTGTTGTGTGGATGAGGAGACAAGAAAGGCCAAGTGGTTAGTAGGCTAGTAGGTTAGTAGATTTGTTCGGACTATACAAGATTGAATGCATGTACGCCTGATGTGAAAGAGTTACACAAGGGTTGATTCATGGCGAAAAGAGGTGAGATTTAGCGAGAGATTGGAGAGGGAGATTGACGGATATTGTTTTTGTTTTTGATGGAGTTTTGATAGATTATAATTAATTCAAGGAAAAAAAGAGTGTTCTGTAAGGGGTCCTTTTATTTTTAACATGTTCAATGAGATATCCAATTAGATGCTCAGCTGGATGTTCCGTTGGATGTTTTTCATTTAGATATTCATTTAGATGTTCACTGTTCCCCCGTAATCCATACGAATGACTTAGTGTAACATGAGTAACAGAGTATATTTATGAAAGAATTTTCGGAAAATCTTACGAGTTATGAAATAGTCTAATATATCTAGGAACTGACCCTTACCCAGATACCTTGGTAGACACTACAGATACCATAGATACTGCAGATGGATATGCAA